TTTCAACCTTGGCGGTGTGAAGATGTGTGGACTTCAACTCCCAGAATTCCCTACCAACTATGGGAGTTGACCTCCACACATCTTCAAACTGCCAAAGTTGAGAAACACTGGCACAGAGGAAAATTCCCCAGGGAAAGAGCATGTGAAGGACACATTGTGGTACCATGTGAATCATAACACACAAAGATACAATGTAGACATGACACACACACCCCCGATGAAGCGTCAATGAGGTTATGAAAGCTCAAGTATGTAATGAGTTAGTTGTCTTGGAAATTTTCTATAAGTCATAAAAGGGCACCCCAGTTGGATTGCATGGGCTGTTGTGTTGTTTGAGACAACTTTGAAATTTCAGTCTGCACTGTGAATTATGTTGCTTGCGGTTTTATTGAATAGTTAATAAATGCTGCCTTATTTGCTTGCTTGAATGGGACGTGTCACTCAATGTTCTGCCAGGCACTATACAAATTCCTAAAAGGGCCCTATAATGGCATTCCTGTTTGCTTTATTTTGCGATGAAATGTGTACATAGTAACAAGGTTGAGAGTAGGCAAGTTAATCCTTGAGAAACTTTGAAAATACTATGTACAGTAAGTACAACCATATTTGGACATGTACACGGCCCTTTATAGTTACCTAGGCCAACAACCCAAAAAAGAAAAAGATCATTACCTCATCTTTAAGATTCATTAATGCATTCTATTAACAGCATTGTTTAGATTTTTTTTAATCCCGCCTTTATTATCTTTAAAAATTATTCTAAGTGGCAAACATACCTAATATTCCTCCATTCTTCTATTTTCCCCACAACAACCCTGTGAGGTGGGCTGGGCTGAAAGAGAGAGAGAGAGAGAGAGAGAGAGAGAGAGATTGATCCAAAGTCACACAACTGGCTTTCATGCCTAAAGCGGGATTAGAACTGAGAGTCTCCTAGTGATTGGCCCAGTCACCCAGCCAGCTTTCTTGCCTAAGGTAGGACTAGAACTCACAGTTTCTTGGTGATTGGTTCAAAGTCACCCGGGTGGCTTTCATGTCTAAGGAGAACTAGAACTCACAGTCTCCTTATAACCACTATAACAAATTGGTCTAACATATATATCAAGATAAACACTTGTAATTCTCCTTAGTACTGTCTCCAGTACAGCTGAGAGGTATGTAAGCTTTTCCAGATAAGGACTTCATTTTGCTTTGAAAGAACTTTTGGGGATGTCCACAAAGTATGGTTAAAAGAGACAAGATGGTAGCCAGAATGGTATGATCAAAGTTTGCCTATTTGTATGGCATTGTACATAAAAAAGAGGCAGAGTTTCAATCGTGCTGTTTTAACTGCCCTCTCGACTTCTGCAGACATTCTTGCATGGGGCTATGATTAAAAAAATAATAATAATAGAAAGCTCCATTTGATTTAATTGAAACTGAAAATCAAATCAAATTCAATTCATCAAATTCCATTAGCAATATTATTTCAATTTTATTTACGGACATGTTGACTGATTTATATTCCCCGCTGCTTCTAAAATTTGCACTATCACTATCTCCTTCTTGAGCTTTACATTAGACTATTAAACATTATTCAACGGTAGCTTTCAGAAGAATTCATGTAAGAATTCTGGGCTGTCAGAATCCTGTCCCTCGAATTCTCGTTTGGATGACCTTCTATATTAGCACAATTTCTTTCCCCCTCTGAAAAAAATAGCAGCCTTCAAAATTATTACTTTCTGAAAGGCTAGAATGATCAGATCCACACGTGAAGGTTCAATTAAACTGATTTATTGCCACTCATGCCTATGCACAGGAATATTCGCAATTAACTTTCAACACCTGCTAAGAGCTAGATAATGAAATTCAAGGGGGGTTGGACTTAGTTTGCTTGTGGCTATGTAGGGATTCTAGACTGATTCCTCTTTTAACTCCACCTACAGGTTCTGGCACTCCTTCCCCTTCTTCTTCCCTATTCCTTGGGCTCCAAATTATCTTTATGAAGCCATGCCATTTTTTTCAGCCCAGTTTCATTGTATTAAAGGAACTTGTCCTTACATAAATCTATGTTGCACTCAGTTGCCCCATAATTATTTGAGCCAAATTCATGCAGTAAAACCCCCAAAACGCCAAAGGCGCATGGAGCGCTGTTACTTTCCCACCAAAGTGGTCCCTATTTTTCTACTTGCATTTTTTACATACTTTCGAGCTGGTAGGCTGGCAGAAGCTGGGACAAGTAACGGGAGCTCACCCTGTTACGCAGCACTAGGGATTCGAACCGCTGAACTGCCGACCTGCCGACCTTTTGATCGATAAGCTCAGCCTCTTAGCCACTTAGCCACCACATCCCCATTTGGTTTATATACTGTACAGTTATTCACATTTGAAGTATCATGACATTGAAAAGTCACTGAGTAGTAAGAAAAATGTAAAGGCTGTTTTGCTGAATTCCTCAGGGGTCTCTGCTAAGCACAGTAGACAATATTAAGCTAACAGGACCGATAGATCAGTATTCATAAATTTTTAACAGTTCCTATGGGTGACACACAGCTAACAAGTCTTTAAAAACGTAGTTATTCCTGAGAGGATCGTGTCATATCTCCCCTGCTTCCCCAGATTTACTCACAGAAAATAAAAATCTATGTGACAGTTGTTTTTGCTCGTTACTTTTTTTTTTAATGGTGGCAATTTTTCATCTTCGTTAGCAGACAAGAAGGGCCTTATTATTTATTTACTAAATTTATATGCTGCCCAACTCCCAGTGACTCTGGGCAGTTTATTATTCACATCATAACATAAATAAGTGTAGCACTGTGATTGAAGTTGATGGCTGAGCTCTTGTATATAAAAGAACAGCGATAAAATCAGGACTTAATACATCAACCAGAAACTCTTCAGTAAAACCAACCAATTAGTCCATCTGTTAAAATCCCAATTAATATGGAGACTGTTCGCTGTTGAGCAGATGGACAGATTCTTCTGGAATAAATATTCCTCGAGTACGGTCTTCTCAAGCTCAGAACCAGCCCTACTATTAAGCAAAGTAATGTTTATCAACTTCAGCAATTTTAAGATGCGTGGAATGGTGCCAGGAGGAATTCTGGGAATGGAAATCCAGACATCTTAAAGCTGCCAGGGCTAAGAAACCCTGAGGCAGAGAGAGGTAGGGTCCACAAGCAATAAAAGCTGAGGTGCTTTAACGTTGACCTTGTGGTATGCTATAGACCTCTAAATTAGCTATTTGGTCATAAATACAGTATGGTTTGCTATCCTCATCCCCAGTAGTGAAATTCAATTTTTTTTACTACCGGTTCTCTGGGCGTGGCTTGGTGGGCATGGTGTGGCTTGGTGGATGTGGCAGGGGAAGGATACTGCAAAATATCCATTCCCACCCCAGTCTGGGGGAAGAATACTGCAAAATCTCCCATCCCACTCCAGGGGAAGGATACTCAAAATCTCCATTCCCACTCCAGGGGAAGGATACTGCAAAATCTCCATTCGCACTCCAGGGGAAGGATACTACAAAATCTTCATTCCCTCCCCACTCCTGAGGGAAGGTTATTGCAAAATCTCCATTCCCACCCCAGTCTGGGGGAAGAATACTGCAAAATCTCCCATCCCACTCCAGGGGAAGGATACTACAAAATCTCCATTCCCTCCAGGGGAATGATACTGCAAAATCTCTATTCCCACCCCACTCCAGGAGAAGGATACTGCAAAATCTTCATTCCCTCCCCACTCCTGAGGGAAGGTTATTGCAAAATCTCCATTCGCACCCCATTCTGGGGCCAGCCAGAGGTGGTGTTTGCCGGTTCTCCGAACTACTCAAAATTTCTGCTACCAGTTCTCCAGAACTTGTTGAATTTCACCCCTGCTCATCCCCCATTTCAAGCAGTTTTTGGAGTTGAAAGGAAGCAAAATATTTTGGAGCAACCCTCCCCTGATGTTCAGAACATGAAAGAAAAGGAAATAAGCCAAGAAAGATAGAAATTTGATTGTTGGTTTTTATTCTTCCAGAATACAAAGTATGATGAGTAGACATACAAACGCTCCCGTCAAAATGGGAAATGCCTGACTTTTGGTACAGGAAAATAACCTGTGGATTACAGTTGACTGTATACAACCTTAGAAGTTAATTAAAAGAATGAATTTTCAGTCCAGCAACTTGATGAAATCAAAGATCTTCCAGAGAGATGCTTCTTATGTATAGGTAGTTCTCAATTTACCAACAGTTCATTTACTGACCATTAAAAGTTACAACGGCACTGAAAAAGGTGACTTATGACTGTTTTTCACACAACCATTACAGCATTCCTACGTCATGTGATCAAAATTTAAGCCCTTGGGAACGGATTCATATTTATGACTGTTACGTTGTTCCAGGGTCATGTAATCACCTTTTGCGAACATCTGATAAACTCAGTGGGGAAGCCGGATTCACTTAACAACTGTGGCAAGAAAGGCCGTAAAATGGGGCAAAATTCACTTAACAATTGTCTCGCTTAGCAACAGAGATTTTGGGCTCAATTGTAGTCGTACATCGAGAACTACCTGTACCTTGGAAGGACTTTTGTAAACTCAGCTATGTTGTCTGTTTGTAAAAATGTGATTGCAGTAGGAATGATAAACATTAGGTAGATCGTATTGGGTTTGGAAGTAAAATAAAGGAGAATTCAGGAAGATTTGATATTCACCATTGTGTTTCCCACTCTGACAAACACACTTGGCTGGGGAAACTGTTATTCCTTGAGACAGCAAATGAATGCTATCTGCCTCTGTGTGTGTGTGTGTGTGTGTGTGTGTGTGTGTGTGTGTGTTTGTGTATACATGCATGCCTCTCTGTGTGTGTATACTGTGGAAAATTACTTGCAAACCATTATTTTGAAAAGGTCTCTGTTTTCCCACAGTCATAATTGGCTAATTCTGTAGGCTTTCATAAGATTTTGCTGTAAATTATTGCGTGGCATGTCTTAAAACGATTCTCCCTTTTTCCCATCCTTTCCCTATTTTTATTCCCACAGAGGAAGTGGTGATCAGAATGAATGGGCATATTTCAAACACCCATCCCAATGTATATGGAAATTATCCTTCTCAAATAAAGTAAGTATTAAATACCTTCTGTCCTGTATTTAGACAAAATAAAATGGTGGGGAAACAAAAAATACTGAGTACTTTCTTTGTTCTTAATTAAAAAAAACAAAACAAAACCACACAGAATCTTAGCTAGAGGTACTCCTGAACCTCTGTGAACCCCCATCAGCCCACCCCTGACTTTAAGGTGTGTGGACTTCAGTTCCCAGAGTTCCCCAGCTGGCTTGCTCAATGCTAGATTCTACTGCTGTAGTATTCCTGACAGAGGCCACGATTAAACTCCTATCATGAGTCCACAATCTCCCAAGAAAGTCTGTCCACCATTGAACAGCTCTCACCATTAGAATTCACTTCCTGGTTTCTAGCTGGAATCTACTTTCTTTAAATAAAATCCATTTTGCCCCTATCTTCTGTTGCAACACTGAACAATAATGCCCACCTTTTATAGGATAGCATTTCAGATATTTAAAGGCAATATCATATTGCCCCACAGTATTTTTTTTTCCCCTTCCAGGCTAAATATCTAATTCTTTTTTTTTTTTAATGGTATTTTTATTGTTAAAGAATAACAGAAAAAAAAAACAATACAAAAATCAATAGTAAAGAAAGAAAAATTTTCCCCCCAACGTGCTATACAAATGGAAAGGAAGTTTTAGGAAATTATAGTCTTCAATTCTTCCAAAAATCTCTTTGATAGGGTACTGGCGCCGATTCATCCAATCTCCCAAGTGCAAAGTCCACAAATGGTTGCCAAATGTTCCAAAAAACATTCTCTTTGTATATACCACTTCTAATTTTAATATCACAAGTCAATTTATCATTTAATGCAAATTTCCATGTTTCATTATACCATTCTTCTAATTTTAAGTCCACATTTAATTTCCAGTATCTAGCAATTATAATTCTCCCTATTATAACCAAAATCCTCACCAATTCTCTTTCTCCAGTTGTTAATGTTGTTTCATTCAATATTAATAATAAATATCTAAATATCTAATTCTCCAACTGTTTTTCATACAATTTTTTTTTCTTTAAAAAAATGTTCCCTATTGCTGGTCCTTTTATCTATGCTTTCCCAGATTAATTTCTCATTATTGCACCTAATATTTTATTCATTTAAACTATTTTACTTTTTCATTCCATTGAGGATTTCAAGCGTATCTTATAACATCAGATAAAAGCAGTTTAGTGTCATTAAAGATATGTCATGGTCACAAGCAAGTAACAAAAGTAGGTAAATCCCAGATATTTAATCAAATGTCTTCTTCCTTATTCCACAAACTCTGTACGCAAATATCACCACATGTCACAGATCCACATGTACACTGTTCCTTTATCCCAGCCTTCCCAGTTAGTGGCCTCCAGCTATGTTAAGATCAACATTTGCAGAATGTTCATAGTGACTCTTGTAGCCACAACACAACTGATACATACCAGATGGGGCCGGCTGCTTTAATCAATTGACAAGTCTTAGAGACTCACTGTTTTTTCATGTCCCTGCTATAGATCTGGTCATGTGTATTGTCATCTGATCTTGTTGTAATAATGAAAGTCAAAGGACCATCTTAACATGCAGCAAACCACTAGCAGATTTGATCAGGAACTGAAGTATTCACCCAATTCCTCAGCTCAACCTATCAAGTTACCATCGGAGGCACTGACCCAGCTATTTAAATCCTCTGTGGTTTTCAAGAAGTCAAGGGATCAGATAAGATTGGGAGGGATCATCATTTGCAGTTGCGGCTTTGAATTCTAGCAGCCCGAGTTCAAAGCTGGAGGAGAAACAGTAGTTCATGCCAGGATTTGGGTAATGATTTCTCCAGAGTAAGAAAAAAGTTCTTCTAAACAAAAAAAAAAGTGTGTGTGTGTGTGGGGGGGGTTCAACTTATTTTCCAAAGCACCAAGAAGGCAAGACAAAAAACAATGGATGGAAACCAGGGGTGAAATTTACTTACCTTCCTTACAGGTTCGGAAGTGCCCATGCCCCGTGCGCGTCACATGCGTGCACAGACCTGCGCATGCGCAAAACCTTTTGCGCATGCACAGAAGGTAAAAAACACATTACTTCCTGGTTAAAACCAGGAAGTAATGACACCCGGGGGGATCATCGAACCACCGGCCAAGATCACTACCGGACCAGGCGATCCAGTCCGATCCGGGAGCATTTCACCCCTGATGGAAACTAATCAAGGAGAGAAGCAACCTGGAACTAAGGAAAAACTTCCTAACAGTGAGAACCGTTCACCGGTGGAACAGCTTGCCTTCAGAAGTTATAGATGCTTCATTACTGGAGGTTTTTTTTTTTAAAAAAAAGACTGAGCAGCCATCTGTCTGAAATGGTATAGGACCGTGATGGCGAACCTATGGCACGCGTGCCGGAATTGGCACACAGAGCCATTTTTCCAGGCACATGAGCTGTCGCCTAACTCACCTGTAGCTACGCACGTGTGCATGCCCCAGCTGGTGTTCGGGCCTCTGGTGCGCATGCACGCAATTCAGGGGACCCAGATGGTCTTCGGAGCTTTCCTGTGCATGTGTGTGCATTTGCAAATGTGTACAAGAGTATTGGTGTGCAGCATGGGCATGCGCAGACTGTGTTCGTGTGCGTGAATTGCGCACATGAAAACCATGCGCATGTGCAGATTGTGCAATTGCACACGCAGCGCAGCGCTCAAAAGCAGGGCACATGCGTAGATGGTGTGGTTCTGCATGCAGCGCACGGTGGGGATGCACGCAAAAGCTGCGCGCATGCACAGATGGTGTGGTTGCGTGCGCAGCGCATGGGGGCGCGTGTGAAAGCTGCGTATGCACAGATGGTGCCATTGCACACACAGCGCATGGGGAGGAGCCGCGCATCAGTATGGATGGCATATATGCGCGCAAAGCATGTGAAGCACATACCTGTTTGGCACTCTGTGCGTAAAAGGTTCGCCACCACCTCCAAGGTCCCTTCCTGCTCTATTCTGATTGATAGATAAAAAGAAACAATTGCCTTACCTGTTGATGTACAGTTGGATGTACAGTTGAATAGCAATTGATAACATTATATGCTATCAGTTGCTGGTGGCCACTTCCTACTTTTTAGAAAACAGAAAATTATTTTTCTCCCTTTTCATTAAATCGGGGAGAGCTGGTGATTCCTGGCATCTGAACAGATTTATCAATGAGACTGGTGGTATTTGTTGGAGCCAAAGCCAATATGTAATTTATTTGTGTGTTTCATGAAGCAGAGAAAAAGTTGTTTACAAATAAAAAATAAAACAGAAAACTGAGGGTTTTTTTCCCTTCAGGTGTATGGTTATTACGCGTATTGTTTCTATGCATTTAACACTACAAACTCCTTAGCTTTTGATTCCCTCCCCCCCCGCCCGAAAAACAGCCATACATAATTGTTAGAAGCTTTCCTTATACACAGAAAACAGAACAGATGGGCGTATGTGGGTGGCTCATGCTAAACTTTAGAATTCTGCCTTAGTAATTATGGTTTATCTGTAGATATTAATTGGTTTTTGAAAGAAGAACTTCAGATTGTCTTAATCCTAAACACATTTCCAAGCTGCTTAAAAGCATACTCAAACAAAATTTATTTGATCTTAGCTTGAATAACAAGAAACAGTTATTTGTCTATGTGAAAAATGGCAAAGCACGGTCTCTTATTTTCGTGAGTGTTTGAGGAGGAATTCTATTAATAGTTTCAGAATCTGCAAAGCTATGGTTGGAGGCCAAATCATATGAGGAATGACTTAGGCATGTCTAATCCATCAAATCAAAATCTAAGGGACTGGTTTGGACAAAACTCAACAGCACTTTTCCGTGCGGCTGTTATTAAAAATAGGATCACCAACATGATCGTAAACATCCGATGATGGATATGGCACAAGAAGAAGAATCTATCAAAAAGAAAGATTAGGAGGGAGCATGACAATTTGTCTTCTAGTACAGAAGTAACGGGGGAAAGTTTGTTAAAGAGAGATCCAACTAGGGGTGAAGTGCTCCCGGTTCAGACCGGATCACCCGATCCGGTAGCGATGGAGGCGGGTGGTTCGGAGAACCAGTGGCAAAAATCCCTGCCCCCCCCCCCCCCCCCATTGCCCAGCTGAACCGCACAATCATCAGAGGCTTTTTTTTAATTTTTAAAAGCATTTTTTCTACAACCTCTTTGGCAGAAAAAAATGCTTTTACTTTTGCTTTTAAAAGTAAAAAAAAAAAGCCGCTGATGATCACGCGGCTCAGCTGGGATCATCAGAGGCTTTAAAAAAAAAAAAAAACCCTCTGCCGATCAGACAAGTCATCTGGGATCGTCAGAGGCTTTAAAAGCATTTTTTTAACAACCTCTTCAGCCGAAGAGGTTGTAGAAAAAATGCTTTTAAAAGTTTAAAAAAAAAAAAAAGTTGGCCACGCCCACTCAGTCATATTACCCCCACCACCAAGCCACGCCCACAGAACCGGTAGTAACAAATTTTAGATTTCACCACTGGATCCAACCTAGAAATAAGGAGAAGTTTTCTGACAGAACAATTAATCTATAGAACAGTTTGTCTGCGAGAGTTGTGGATGCTCAAAAATAGACTGGACAACCGCTTGACCGGGTTGGTATAAGGCAGTGATGGGAAACCTTTTAGACACCGAGTGCCCAAACTGCACGCATACATCCATGCCAAAACTGAAAGGTGCAGGCATGCACGGACATCTGCGCACATGCGTGGATGTCTGCATGCATGCACAGACATGTGCATGTGCGGACATGCGCGCATGTTCAACAGAAGACCAGCTGGCTGGCGGGAGGCGGGGTATCCCAACACTGGCAGCGCAGCAAGAGGTAAGATCTTTTTCTTTCGTGAGCTTCTGTTTCATCATTTGCAGGGAAACAGAAGCTCACGAAAGAAACGCCACGGAGATCTGACCTGGGGCGACGGTGCACGTGCCAGCAGAGAGGGCTCCGCATGCCACCTCTGACACGTGTGCCATAGGTTCACCATCACGTGTATAAGGTCTTCTTAAGCATGGGGTTGGACTAGAAGACCTCTGAGGTTCCTTCAGCTCCGTGATTCTATGTTCTATGATTAAAGGCTGTGTAAAGAGCATCTCAAGGTTCTCTGGTTATCTACATGTTTTTCAAAGACAGAGCCGAAGACAGATAAGCCCACTAGTTCTAAAACTGGCCATGTAAATTCTAAATATCATTTAGCCTATAAAATGGCTGTCCCTATCTTAGTATTTCTGATTGCTCCCCAACTCTGTTTTCCTAGTTGGCTTTGAACCACTTAGAAAATATAGTTTGTTTCAGATTATATCAGAGGAATTATAGCTCATTGTCCTTATTTAGGTTTCTTTCCAGTTCTAGATCCAAAGTAATCTTATAACATAGTTTTAGGGCACATTATGCCTCCATCTCTCTAAAGTTGAGTTGATCCTTAAAGTGCCTGCTGACTGAGTAGGCATACTCACTCACTTGCATATTTTTTTTTCTTTTAAGTAGCCGAATGGTGAGATGGAATTCCTAGTTTTTGGAATTTCTGCTCAGCAGCCACTTTATGTGGATTCCTTCACACTTGCTAAGCTGATCCACATGAACCGGAAACATGAAAGACAAAATCCTTATAATCCTGAATTCTGTACTCACTGCAGTTAGTCTTTGAGTTTCAGCTTGGTTGTATATTGATTGGCTTTTCCAGGAAAAAAAGGCCACATAAACATCCTATTTCTTGCCTTGCAGTGGATATGGATCACCAACATTTTCTTCAAGGGACAAGGATCAGAGTTCAAAGACAAGCGCAAAAGCTTTGTACGGTAAGATTCGCTAGCCGATGCTGAGCTTATAATTGGATCATGAATGCAAAGTCTTAATTAAGCTAGATGGGCTGAAATTATAGAAAAATGATTTCGAGCAGGGGTGTCAAACTTGATTTCATTGAGGGCCGCATCAGGGTTGTGTTTGACCACGGGGGGGGGGGGGGGGGGGGGGATGTGGCCAGCGCAACGTCACTCCAGTTGGGGGCGCCTGTGGTGGCCCAAGCGCTCTGCCAACGAAAACAGGCTCCTGAGCTCCGTTTTTGGCTGTCACAGCCTCCTGTGACCCTCTGCCAGTGAAAACGGAGCCTGGGAGAAGCACCATAGACCGGTCCTTTACTGTTTCCAGGGCAGCCCCGCGGGCCAGATCTAAGTATCCTGCAGGCCGGATCCGGCCCCCAGGCCTTGAGTTTGTCACCCCTGATTTAGAGTCATCAAGCATTGCATTCTATAGCACCTCTTGTGTATGTGTGTGTGCCCTAGAAATTAAATTGCTATTCATTTATTTATTTAACCCATCCCATTCTAAAGAGTCTGCACTGTGTACAGGTGGTACTAAACTTACAACCATTCATTTACTATTGTTTGAAGTTACAACCGCATTGAAAAAAGTGGCTTAAGACCGGTCCTCACACTTATAACTATTCCCACGGTCACATGTACAAAATCTGGAACTTGGCAACCATGTGTATTTATTACTGTCAATATTTGTGATTATTTTTGTGATCTTCCCAGACAGCTTCCGATGATCAATCATTGGGGAAAGCTAGATTCTCTTTTAACAATGCCAAGATTCATTTAACAACAGCAGTGATTCGCTTAACAACCATGGCAAAAAAAAGAGTGTAAAATCAGGAGTGGCTCTCTTAATCACCACCTTTCTTAGCAGTGGAAATTCTTTTTCCCAATTGTGGTTGTAAATCAAGGACTATCTGTACAGAAAATATACAAATCATATCTAGACTAATCAACCTCCTTTCTCCTCCCTTTCAGAAGTTGAGTGTTCACCCAACAATTAATTAGATCTAAAGGTACACCGGGCCCCACAAAGTAGTCTACCATCTAGCCCATACCCCACATATTTCTTGGGTGGGGAGATAATTCTCAGCAGGTCTTCTGAAGATGAATGAGCTAGACCAGGGGTGTCAAACTCAAGGCGTGCGGGCTGGATGCGGTCCGCAATCTGGTCATATCTGGCCTGCGGGGCCATCCTGGGAAATGTAAGGGGCTGGCCCACGTCGCTTCGGCCCGGTCTACCCAATGCGAAGAGGAAACATGCCAGCAGTTTGGAGAGTGGTGTCATGCTGGCCACGCCCACCCAGTTGACCACACCCACCCAGTCGGCCACGTCCGCCCAGCCTCCCCAAGGCCAACCACAGCCCTGATGCGGCCCTCAATGAAATTGAGTTTGACACCGGTGGACTAGACAGATGAATTTAATTTTGGCCAGAGAGTACCAGATACACGCTTATGCTAGACCATATAGGACTTTGTAAGTAACAACCAGGTCTAATTTGATCCTGGAAATTGATTCTTTTAAGCACATGACTTACATGCCAAAGTGTACCCCTTTTTCTCTTGCTTTGATGTTAGATCCTTATGTGCATATAGATGAAAGTTCAAAGACTGCCTTTTATTTCCCAACCTTCAGAAATCTAGACAGAAATGGAACAAAAGAACTGAATTGGGGATCTTGTATACATTGATAGAAAACTGCTAAGCAGTTTTACTTGTAGTTAGACAAATGGATTAAAGGCAGCTACCAAGGGGGACAGCTGTAAGGTTTTAAGGAGGACAAAGTTTTTTTAGTTGTAGGGTGGATTGGTTCTAGATCAACACCGACAGTAATAATATGTGTATGTAGGCGTGATGCTATTCCCTTTCAGAATAAGCAACATTTTGTAAAGGACAGATAAAGAATAATAAAGTAATGAATCATAAAACACAGGAAACGTCAAATCAGTCGTGGGAGCCTGCTTTTCTTGCCTGCACAGTTTTTAGCAAACACAGGTTGATTTCTTTTTGATCTGCAAATTGATCCTCATTAAAAGCCTGTGTCTGCATGTTGCGTTTAATAAAGCTCTTTTTTCTTTTTTTTTTTTCTTTACTTCTTTTCTTTGTTCTTTAGAGCTGTGTGTGACAACCAATTTTTCATTGCAAGTCAACACTAGTATCAGCACTATTGCCTTGACATCTTCCCAAATGGAAATAATCACTGGGTATAGGATTGATCTAAATGTTCCTTCTTTTCCTTTTTTTTTAAAAAAAAAAATAATAATTCTCGTGAACAGATGGGTTTTATTTCTTCAGATCGTCATCCAAGCAAAAAACCAAGAAAGGTAGCAGACGACAACAGACTTTGTTGCTCTGTGTGTGTTTGTGTATATACGTGTGGGCATGCGCGCACGTGCGTGTATGCATGCACATTTTCAGTACGGATCTCTTTTTGGGGGGGGGGAAGTACGCACAAATGAAAATATTTCAACATGTTGACCCAATCAAATGCTTCTAATGTTTAATAATGGATTGTTAGACACCAAAATGACTGAGGAGTTTTACGATGGGGCAAGTTTGAGCTTCCTAAATGTGAGAGAAAAGTTATTTCTCAGTTGCTGTGCCTATTAATGGCCTTTGGCATGGACAAGTAAATAAGCCAATCAGAAAGCAGCTAATGGGTTTGAATCTCCCAGGCTTTTATATTCCCACCCCTAACTGTCAATGTGACGGTATAAAAGGAGATTCTTGACAGAAAATCGTTGGCAGTTCGGAGAGTTCTGATTAGGGATCAGAGGCAGATCTTATGTCTTACAAGACTCTTTCTTAGGAAGAATAGCCCGAATTCCCATCGCATAGAGCGATTACATATATATATATATATATGACAGGATATTTATTTTTATGTAAATAAAAACAGTTTACTGTGAACTGCTCTTGATGCTCATTTGTTATAGTAGATCTTAACAGAGATAAGGTTTACGGTACATCGATTTACCCCTCCACGACACTAAATATATGTGCAAGACAGGGAAGGACATTGGTAGTGAAGCCCATCAGTGAGTAGGGAGGAAGAGGTTATACTAAATCCTTGGTGTCTAGGAGATTCTCAGTCATCCAGGTCATGCTTGTCCCAAAGGTGCTTTTTCAAGAGGCAACTGGACTTTCTTGTTTTTTCTTTTGAAGACGTTTCATTTCTCATCCAAGAAGCTTCTTCAGCTCTGTCAGGATAGTGGGGAATGGAAGGATTTATATTCTAAAAAGATGCAAATGACCAGCTGTCTGCAAGAAATATAAATCCTTCCATTCCCCATTATCCTGCCAGAGCTGAAGAAGCTTCTTGGATGAGAAGCAAAACGTCTTCAAAAGAAAAAACAAAAACAAGAAAGTCCAGTTGCTTCCTGAAAAAGCACCTTTGGGACACTGGACTTTTTGGTTTTTCTTTGACGACGTTTTGCTTCTCATCCAAGAAGCTTCTTCAACTTTGACTGGATCCATTCCCCACCATCCAATCGGAACTGAAGAAGCTTCTTGGATAAGAAGCAAAATGTCTTTAAAGAAAAACCAGAAGTCCAGTTGCCTCTTGAAAAAGCACCTTTGGGACTAACTAAATCCTTGGCATGCTGTAATTTTCAGAAAATAATAATTGAGGGCATTCTGCCCAGTTCAGACACTGTAATCTTCTGAATATGCAGTTGCTATCACATCCCATACTACAGGGGTTCCCAACCCTCAGACCGCAGATGGGCACCAGTCCGTGGCCTGCCAAAAACCAGGCCAGGCAAGCAAGCGAAGCCCCATCCATGCACACACAAGATCCAGGGAATGCGTGAAACCACGCTCACCCTGGTCTGTGGAAAAACTGCCCTCCATGGGACTGATCCTTGGCGCCCAAAAGTTTGGGGGCTCCTGTCATTCTATACTGGAGAAGAACATGAGAATTATAGCTAAACAAGTCTAGGGCACTACATTATGAAAAAAATATAGTTTGAATATTTACTATGTAACAGTGCTTCTCAAATATAAGCAACCTTAAGGCATGTGGACTTCAATTCCCAGAATTCCCCAGCCAGCAAGGGAATTCTGGGACTTGAATTCCACATATCTTAAAGTTGCCAATTTGAAAAGCACTGCTGTAGCATAAAACTCAGGAGCTGGATCCTGCAACCTTTTTTTCCAGGCTCCACAGTGGAGAAGATAAATATTATGCGTATAGGATTTAAATACCTCACGTAAGAAGTACATAAATAAACAGATATTGACAGCACTTTTTCCACTATGCCCCATGGTGTGATCTCACAAAGAAGCCCAAAAGGTACCAATAAAATATAGGAAGCTCATAACATATTGTGAGCCATCTTACAACATTGCCTAGAAAATGTGAGGTACCATCAAACATGGGAGACCTGAATTATTTCCTGACAGTTGAAATCTGCTGCTTTAATTTGAAGGCCCTGTGGGCATCATTTGGCATAGGTGCCATTTTGGTGATGCTGGCATATCTCAATGCAGAGGTGAAATCCAGCAGGTTCTGACAAGTTCTGGAAGTAATAGAAATTTTGAGTAGTTCGGAGAACCAGCAAATACCACTTCTAGCTGGCCACAGAGTGGGGTGGGAATGGAGATTTTGCAGTATCCTTCCCCTGCCATGCCCACCAAGCCACGCCCACAGAACCAATAGTAAAAAAAATTGGATTTCACCACTGTCTCAATGCCTAATTGAAGATGAGGGGAGACAACAACATGGCACTCCTGAAGAACTGGGTTGAAAAATGCTCTAAAAATAATTTCTGATAGAATGAAATAAAGAGTACAATATTCAGGTAGAATGCAACTGAAAAGCATGTATTTATTTGACTTATAGTTCTCAAACAAAAATTAAACTAGACATAAATCACTATAGATTTGTCATTACATCAATCACTATAAATTTGTGATTTATAGTCACAAATACTTGACTGAACATGGCAGTGTCCTTGTCTGGCTTAACCTTCTCATTGTAACCAGCATGGCTTGATCTGAATGGTTTTTTTGTACTATCAGATCTGGAACCCTTTGATATTACAGTATGTGATTGTTAAGGCTGAACCTTACATATGCTCTTGAGTTCAGTTCTGTTGCCTCTTCTACTTACAATCTCCCTAGAATAATAGAAAACTGGCTTTACATACAGGTGGTCCTTGATTTACAACCGCAATTGGGATCAGAATTTTCATTGCTAATTTCAAGGCAGTTGTTAAGTGACCCAGGGTGTTAATCTGGCTTCTCCCATTGACTTTTCTTTTTGGTTAGTCAGCTGGGAAGGCCACAGATGGCAATCAACTAAGTCCAGAACATTGCATCCATCATAAATATATACTAGTTGACAAGCACCTGAATTTTGATCATGTCGCTGTGGGGATGCAGCAATGATTATAAATGCAATGACCAGTTGTAAATCACTTTTTTTCTAATATATTTTTAATTTTGAACAGTAGCTAAACGAATAGTTGTAAATTGAAGACTACCTGTATCTCATTGTCACTAACTGATGGCTGCCTGCTTATATTTACTCCTCAAGAAACTTTGGGCAGGAAGTTATTTTTAGAAAATGATTATACCACCTCTAGTAATGGATGTTTAAACGCTATATTCAATTTTTGTGATGGAAAATATTTTCATTGGGCTGTTTTTAGAAAAGAGATACCTATTTCCTAGAAAGATATACCTCAGTTACATTATTCATCCACATTCAGGGAGGAGAATGAAGATTTTAAAAATGTTGGATGTGGTAAAATTCACATGTCAACAGAATTGTTGACGGGATCTTGTCGTTGCCTTCTAATATGCTGAGAGGAATCTAGGACACTGTGGACAGTACTGTCATCATCCATTGTTTCTCAGAGTATTGTTCAGTACTTTCCATTTCAATTATGGCAAACTTAATTTGAAAATATCTAGGAAAGCCCTGTCTTTTGTCTACATGAATGTATCCTCCGCTATTGACCTGGTTTTATTATTAATTGCTATGAGTGCTGTGGTGAAAAGAAGTGATAAATTTAATAAATGAAGTAATGGATCAGAAATAACAGACTAAGGGTTAGGATTAAGGCCTGCTGAATTGATGCTATAGCAACTGATGAAAGAATCGTTTATTAACTTTGACTACCTATGGACCATGTAATGAAATATGGCTACTGTTCCCTGAAAGGCTTTATATAGGAGCTTTTATGCATACACAAACACATACTTACTGTGTGAATGTATATAATACATACACACTATATAAAACTGCATCCCTTTTGCCTTTCAGCTCCAATCCAGGAGCCCTCAAGCAGTCACATTCACGACAAACCATTTTTATATCAAATTTATATTTCGCTGTTAAAGACTTGTGGCTGAGAGGTTAATACAGCTGCCTAACATGCAGGCAGCCCAAGTTCAAATCCAAGGAAGGGTATGGCTAGCTGGGTTCGAGACCTGAGCTCTGCGCAATGAGGTGAGCTCCCATTACTTGCCTCAGCTCTCACTCACCTAGCAGTTCAAAAGCATGCAAATGCGAGTAGATAAATAGGTACAGCTTCAGTGAGAAGGTAACAGTGTTCCATGTGCCTTGGCCTACAATCATGCTGGCCACATGACCACGGAAATTGTCTTCAGACAGCGCTGGCTCCCTTGGCTAAGAAATGAAGAGCACACACACACACACACCCTACAGTTTGACATGACTGGACAGGAGAACCCTTTATATATAAGAGTTCATATATATGTGTGAGTTTGTGTGTGTGTATATATACTGTGTCTGTCTGTCTATCTATCTATCCATCCATCCATCCATCCATCCATCTACACACATACATATGTATGTGTCCATATACATACACAGTATATATGTACAGATACATATACACACATATTCAGATATACACAATAAATATATAATTTATATTTCAGTATCTTTTGCTTAAAGTTTTTTCTAGTTTTGCTTAAAGTTTTCTCTCTTCCTGTAATGTCAAGGCTGACTTCCTCATAATACACTGAATTAAAATGAGGCATGATAGTTTGTGATTTAGCATTTAAATCACAATTTAGCATTTAAGAGAAACACTTTTGGTAGGTTGTGTGAATCAGGCATTTCTATTAAGCAGTGAGATATGCTTTACTTGTATTCGTTTGGGCTTAGTATATTATGCAAATGTGCTTTGTTAATTCAGGTTTAGGGTTAAATGTGATTTCAAATAAAATAGTAAAAGTGATTGGCTTGTGGTGTCATTTGCTTCTCTTTTGTTTGCTTTTTTCCTCCCAGATGGAGATGTTTCTTCTCAAGTTATGTGTGAGAAGACTGCTATTTCATTGCTAAGCTGTGGCTTATTTAATTATGAGTTTTTGAATAAGACCCAATTTATTGGGTTCATCCAACATGCTAAATTCTAAAAGTTTACAAGTCATCGTGGCACATTTCGCTTAATCTATGAAGCCAAAACTAAAGTAAACACTTTGTGGTTTAGTCAGCTGGTGAATCAATCCATTGTCTTGAGATTTAAATTTGAATCAATAGATTAAAAGCCTACTGAGTGATGTTTATCATTTTATCATCTTAATTCAGAGATAAGCAACTGGTGCCATCATAGCTCTCCATCCATCAATATTTTTAAATAAATTTAGTATTCTAATATCCTCTTTTTTTCCATTTTTGATAAAAACCAGAGCAAAGGAAGAATTATGCACGAGACAGCATCAGCAGCATTTCAGAGATAACACAATACCATGTGGAGGTAAGGTTTATTATTATTATTATTATTTTATCTTATTTTATTTATGCAGATCAGATATATCCATAGATAGAAATAGCTGGTTTGTTGTTGTTTTTTCGTTCTCTCCATTTTATTTTGTAAGCAACGTGTTTTTGCTTTTGCAAAAAGAATCTCTTTCCAAAAGTTTTAAGTGTCTGCTCTGCTGATCCTTTTGTAAACATACATCTCCTTTTTCTCTTTTGCCAACCTTTCAGCACCTGACCACTTTTGTTCTGGATCGGAAGGAAGCCATGATCACAGTTGATGATGGAATAAGGAAGCTGAAACTCCTGGATGCGAAAGGCAAGGTCTGGACACAAGACATGGTACTTCAAGTGGACGACAAAGCTGTCAGTCTAGTGGACTTAGAATCCAAGGTAATGTTGTGACCCGTCAGCGGCCTGTGCAGCTAGTAGCTGATTCTGACAGCAAGGAGGCTGGTGTGGTGCTGCGCCAGCAGCCTGTGCAGCTGGCACTCGAGTCAGACAATGAGGAGGCTGGAGAAGATGTGGTGCCAGAGGCAGGGATTCAGCCAGGGCCTTCAGAAGCTCCCTTAAGTGAAGAGGACGAAGAGGAGGAGCCTCTTCTCAATGCATGGGCGCACAGAGCTGCCAAAAGGCAGGAGTGGCTCCTCAGGAGGAGGTCTCCTCGAGAGTAAGGCTTGGGGCTAATTGGCCATTCCCTTAGCCTATTTAAGGAGGAATGCCGACTGAAGCAATTTGCAGGGAACAACTTTGTTCACATACCTTCATATCTTGTCTTGCTTATCTTATCAGCTTCCTGCAAATTGCTTCTGGGCATTCTGCCAACCACAGTAAGCTTTCAGTTATTATCCTTTGAATTTTTGGTGGCTGTTAATGCAGTTAATTAACAGCCATTGTTCTAAAAGACTTGTTTAACTTAGTAAACTAAGGTTTGAACGGACTTTGTGTGTGCTGCGTTCTTTGGGGTCCGTAAAGACTCAGTAATAAGGTTGATGTGTTGGCAGAGTTGGGCGAAGATCTTAAGCAAGGTGGGGAGGAAATGGGAAACGTTTTCAGAGTTTTGATTAGAGCCGGGTTACATGTTATCTGATGAAAATTATCCAACCAATTAGTGAGCAGAGAAGTTGGATTTACGGACAATTTCTTTTCAATTTTGCCAGGGAGGAAGAAATTCTCCAGCTGTGAGAATTTTACTGATGTTTTCTTCTTTGAAAAAAAATGTCAAAAGCTAATTCTCATTCATGAAACAGCCTGAGAAATAATAGAGAGTGGAGGGAGGGGCGGGGGGGCCCGAATTCAGAGAATCCATCTTTCTGGCCTCTGCTTTTATATTATTTTTTCCCCCTCACTTCTTTCCTGTTGTCATATCTTGAGTCATAGTATATTTAGGGGTACCAATATATTGGGAAGACGAGAGAGGGGATTTTAACCATGTTGAAGAATTTTGTTTATTTATTTATTTTATTTATTTGTCAAATACGTATAAGATAACAGATATAAGTATAAACATGATTATGAATACAGGAAATGGATACGAATAAAAGGGGACATTAGGACAGGGACGGGAGGCACGCTGGTGCTCTTATGCACAATCCTTACAGACATCTTAGGAATGGGGTGAGGTCAACAGTAGACAGTCTAAGGCAGCAGTGAAATGCTCCCGGTTTGGGGGGGAAAATGCTTTTAAAAGAAAAAAAAAGCCTCTGATGATCAGGCAACTCAGCTGGGATCATCAGAGCCTTTTAAAAGCATTTTTTTTTACAACCTCTTCGGCCTTTTTTAAAAGTAAAAAAAAAAAAAGTTGGCCACGCCCATCCAGTCACATTACCCCCCACCAAGCTGTGCCCACAGAACTGGTAGTAACAAATTTTACATTTCACCACTGGTCTAAGGATAAAGTTTTGGAGGTTTGGGGAAGAAACCACAGAGTCAGGTAGTGCATTCCAGGCATTGACCACTCTGTTGCTGAAGTCATATTTTCTGCAATCGAGTTTGGAGCGGTTCACTTTAAGTTTGTATCTATTGTTTGCTCTTGTATTGTTGTGGTTGAAGCTGAAGTAATTGTTGACAGGTAGGACATTGTAGCAGATAATTTTGTGTACTATGCTTAGGTCAGACAGAAGGCGTCGTAGTTCTAAGTTGTCTAAGCGCAGAATTTCAAGCCTGGTGGCATAAGGTATTCTGTTGCGAGCAGAGGAGTGGAGGACTCTTCTCGTGAAATATCTCTGGACTCGCTCAATTGTATTAATTTGTATGTCCCACTTCTTCCTCCCATTTACCTTTCAGAATGAACTTGAGAACTTCCCCTTGAACACAATACAGCATTGCCAGGCTGTGATGAATTCATGCAACTATGACTCCATCCTTGCTCTGGTGTGCAAAGAGCCATCGCAAAGCAAAGCAGACCTCCATCTTTTCCAGTGTGATGAAGTCAAGGTAGGGCAAAATACTACAGTTAAACACATGGAGCTAGAATATATTAGGTTTTTTTTTAATTTGCTTGCTTATTTATTTTGTTCCATAACCTTGCTCCGCTGACTTCAATCTATCATCTCCTAAACCTGTTGGATCTTAAATTCTGAATTAGCAGGAAATTCTAGGAGCTGTAGCATCAATGCACCAGGAAGATGGTAGGCTATGGAAAACTTAAATACGCCATTCATACTTAAGAGCTGAACAAGATCTTGTTCATACATTAGGTCTACATTAACCAATGCCAAGCACTGATGATGCTACCTAGTTTGCCCATGATGGCAAATCTATGGCACGCCTGCCAGAGGTGGCACGCAGAGTCCTCTCTGTGGGCAAGCGCGCCGTCGCCCCAGCTCAGCCAGCTGGTCGTCAGGTTTCCAATGCACACACTTGCGCCGGCCAGCTGGTTGTTGGGTTTCTGAGGTGCACCCCAGCTCAGCCAGCTGATCGTCGGGTTTCCATGCTCCTTCGGTTTGGGCACTCTGTGCCTAAAAGGTTCGCCATCACTGGTAAAGGTTTTCCTGTCTAAGCAGTGGGTTGGACTAGAAGACCTCCAAGGTCCCTTCCAACTCTGTTATTCTATGTTCTGTTCTGTTCTGTTCTGTTCTGTTCTGTTCTATTTAATCATCATCAATCTTTCACAGTAATTGCATTTGCAGAATAGCAGCATTTATGAATATTCTTGTATAAGTCATGTTTATGTTACCTTAAATCAGCTTGCTGTGTGACACTTCAGGAACGTTTTGTGGAAAGCTATTCTGAGAATGCTTAGGATGGCTCACTGACACATAAATAAAAGGATGATTAAACAACAGTAGGGAATTGATAAAAGATGCCGGAATCAGAGACCTGTTTCAGTGGTTTTCTTTTCCAGACAGAATATAATGATATATAGATTTGGCTTTTAGAACATGACCTGCTTGCTGAGATGCTAAAGATCTAGTTGTAATAATTTCAGCTCTTAAACAGACTTAATATTCAAATTCTTTTTTTTTTTTAAAGAAAAGGATAGTTACTCTGCATTTATTTGGAAATACAAATGCCTACGTTGTTGCTTATAGCCAAAACCCTGCACAGTATTTGGCTTCCTGCCAACCAGTATCCATAAATATTATGGATTTCTCTGCATAATAATCCCCCTGTGATACTTAGTGTATAAATGAATTGGAGCAATGAGTGGCATTTTTGGAGTATAATTGAGCTCTGTAAAGAAACACAGATATTAAATAAGCTGATCTTTAGAAGCAAGTGGATCCCTGCCAAACGAATGGGGAGGGATTCCTTAAAAGCTTGGTCAGCAATTTGTTTTCCTAGAAGTCCATTTTGATATCGAAATAAAAGACAATGAATCACAGTAATGTGACTGATCAGAAAAGGGTCTGGGACTCAGGATGGAAATCTTGGCAAAGGTATCGACCTAGTGTAGCCACAACTGTAAACAAGGCAAATTCTATAAAGGGAATCATTAGAATGTTAATTAAAAACAACACCTCCAGTGTTTTTATATAAATCTGTGGTGAGGCTACACTCCCCAAAGCATTTTATAGTGGGTGAAAAGAGTGTCTACAAAGAGGAGCAACCAAAATGATTAGGGAACTTTCAGTACAGGTAGGCCTCGGCTTACAACAGTAGTGACCGTTCAAAGTTACAACGGCACTGAAAAAAGGGGACTTATGACCATTTTTCACACTTACAACCATTGCAGCATCCGCTTGATCATATGATCAAAATTCAGATGCATGGCAACTGGTTCATACGCTTCTCTTTCCCAAAACACAATTTGTAATTCATCCCAAACGAATATGCACTGTAACTCAAAAGTAAAATGAATAATTCCATGTTAAATCATAGGATTAGCAAGTAGGGTTTATTTTGTTTTGGTGACAACTTTCTATCAAAGACCATCACTGTTGATTTGCCTAAGAGAGTCTCCAATAAAATACAGGAAGTTCTCGACTTACAACTCTTCATTTAGTGACCGTTCAAACCAGGGGTGGGTTCTACTTACCTTTACTACCGGTTTGGAACGGGATCGCTTCTTTTTGCCGTCGCGTGCCAAAAGCGTGGGGAGCGTGGGGGGGTCACGTGCACGCGTGCCCACACCCATAATTCAATGCTTTCCCCCTGCGCATGCGCACGTGACCCCTCCCCATGCGCGACCCCCACTTTTGGCACACGATGGCACGGTGGGACCGGAAGGCCCATTTTTCACCCTCCCCAGTCTCCAGAGGCTTTCTTGGAGCCTGGGAGGGTGAAAATGGCCTCCCCCCTCCCGGGAGGCCCTCCAGAGGCCGGAAACAGCCTGTGTCCTGACTTCCTGTGGGCCCGGAAGGCCCGAAAATCAGCTGGCCTGCGCGCTGGAGCTGAGCTAGAGCAACGCTCGCGTGCCCACCGATATGGCTCCGTGTGCCACCTGTGGCACGCGTGCCATAGGTTCGCCATCACGGACCTAGCACATTCCTTCCAATTAACTAGCATAGACATTTGCCTTAACAGGTAACATGTATCCATTTAGCTTCTTACTGTTTGCCCTGATTTGATCCCCAAAGTTTTAGACTGACATCCGTTTCATCATTTGACTATATTCCTCTGAATTGGAGTCACACCCAGCTGCATGCTGAGTGCTCTATTGCTACATTCTGTTACAAGCCACGCAATTCCACTACAATTATTAACTCAACATGGATAGAAAAAGAAACTTAGGGTGGCCATCACTTAGGCGTCTAAAATACGAAAGGGAAGGTCTTTGCTGCATCTCGTGTTATTTAAATTCCCAAATCGCCTACTGAAGTTGATTGGCTGCTGTTTCTAGATGGATGAAGAGAGTACAAGTGGAAAGCGAACGTTACAGAATTTGCAGCTATAAGATATGATGGCCACTCTTACCTATAAAGCCTCAGTGAGTTCAATAGATTGCTTGCTCAAGCGTTCAGCAGTGCATCAAATTAATTGCTTCTGCTTCTGCTCAGGCCAACTTCATCCACGAAGATATTGAAAGCGCAATCAGCGATAGCAAAGGTGGGAAACCAAAGCAGCGACTTGAAACACTCAGGTAAAACCGAACCCTTGCCTTGCAAATCTTTCCTAGCGTTTCCGGCAGTGGTGGGATTCAGTCAGTTCGCAGCACTTCGAGAGAACCGGTTGTTAACTTTCTGAGCAGTTTGGTGAACTGGTTGTTGGAAGAAATCATTAGGGCAGAGAACCAGTTGTTAAATTATTTGAATCCCACCACTGGTTTCCGGTAAGGGGTACATTAAGAAGCTGGTCATGCGGGCAATATATTTGGCCTGTGCAAAGTGACATAGATTCACTTTGATGAAGCGATTCGGGCTGTGAAGGGAACATAATTCACTCTGATGAAGCAAAGAGATTGGCCCATTTATCTCGCCAAAGGAGTTCAGGTGGCCTCAAATTATTTTAGATCCGTGGTGTGGAAGAAGAAGGCTGGCTTCAGCTCTCTTCCCCGATGCATTGGCTGAAGAGCTTCCAAAGCTGCACATAAGCTTTGGGACTGCACGTAGCAATGTGTGCCAAAGCCACACAGCTGGGCACATTGAAGCCGCTGAGCATTTGCTGAAGCAACTCAGCATGGGAGCTCTTCAGCCAGTGCTGAAGCAGCTTTGAGTAGCGTTTGGTCCAAAGTTTCATCAAAACCTGGCATCTCTTCAGAGCTTTGTACAATCCCGCTGTATGTTAAACCTCCAATAACAGAAGCTGTAGCTCTTTTATACTTCTTGCTAGGAACTTCAATAGAAGAATATATTGTCCTCAGGCGTTGCGTGTCCGTTTCCTACCGATGCCTAGGCTGGTCACAGTACAAACAGAATGCTGAAATGAACAGATTTTTTGGTCTGATTCATGATGGCTCTTTTTATATTGTAGCAGATCCAAAAGTAACTAATTAAGAAACACAACTTGGGGAGAACCCAGAGGTTTACAGAATTATTCAGTGCCTCTCCCTCTCTTTTTCTGCCAAAGTAAAATAAAACTTTAAAAAAACTACGCAATCCGGTGAAATAAGGTAGTTGTAAAATGCATTGTTTCCAATTCTACACAGCTTGTGTTATTGCAGAGGGGAAAATGGTTATCTGCTTAAATGCCTTGAAACAACAGTTCTTGTAATGCTTAAGAATGCAATAGAACATTTTGGTACAGTTTCCACTTAGGTTAGTAAACCAGCACATTTTCAGAATTGTCCTTCCTTGGGCCTTTTTCAAACGCTGTGTGGACACTTTCTCTGTTTTGGCCACGAGCTCTTTAAAACCAACAAATGTACACTGAAATTCCATTGTTAAAATGTTGTGCGCCTCTGCTTTTCTCATCTGTTACTGAAATCTGAACTTCAGTAACTAATAGCCCTAGCATAAGAGGGTAGGAAAAGTTCAGTATTTAAAATAGTCAAGAGAAAGGTAAACATTTTTATTTATTTTCCTTGTACTAGTTGTGCCCATCTCAGAGAAAGTTTGTTTATGTGGTCACAAAGAATTGACACCAACTCTTGACACCTAGTCAAATCCAATTAAGTGGGTTCTGTGCTTTTACACCATTCTGTTCTAAATACTGTGTTTTCCCGAAAATAAGATCCTGTCTTATATTTTTTTGAACCCCAAAATAAGCACTTGGCCTTATTTTCAGGGAGGTCTTATTATTTTGGGGTGCATTGAGCAAGACAGGACTCCTCTTGCCATCTTACCTGATATCCAGCTCTGTTTCCCTAGGAAATGGCGGGGACTGGCTGTGCATGCGTTTAAATATTTTCAGGGAAGGCTTATTTGGGAGGGGGGCTTGTTTTAGCGCATGCGCACCCTCAAAACGATGCTATAGAGCACTGCACACCAGAACAACTAGACACAAGAACAGTTTTTCCCCAAATGCCATCACTCTGTTAAACAAATAATTCCCTCAACACTGTCAAGCACTACTATTAATCTTCTCATCGTTCCCACCACCCATCTCCTTCCACTTATGACTGTATGACTGTAATTTTGTTGCTTGTATCCTTACGATTGATATTGTTTCCTGATTGCTTATTTGTACCCTATGACTATCATTAAGTGTTGTACCTTATGATTCTTGATGAACGTATATTTTCTTTTATGTACACTGAGAGCATATGCACCAAAGACAAATTCCTTGTGTGTCCAATCACACTTGGCCAATAAAAAAATTCTATCTATCTATCTATCTATCTATCTATCTATCTATCTATCTATCTATCTATCTATCTGCTCAAAAGCCCGATTGGGTTTATTATCAGGGGATGTCTTATTTTCAGGGAAACATGGTAGAAGGCAGTTCTGCAATGGAAGGATATAAAACTCTGATGGTGTAGTGGTTAAAGTGCAATATTGCTGGCAAACTCTGTCCACAGCCTGGAGTTTGATCCTGGCAGGGCTCAAGGTTGACTCAGCCTTTCATCCTACTGACTTTGGTAAAATGAGGACCCAGATTGTTGGGGGCAATATGCTGACATTGTAAACCATTCAGAGTGTGCTGTAAAACGCTATGGAGCAGTATATAAGCCTAAGTGCTAAAACTCAGCTTCACCAAAACGTGGGTGGATGAACACAGACAGTTGATGAACAGATGGACAGACTGACAATTGATAGGTGTGGCTATATGTCGCTTCCGAAAGAGAGTCATGGCAATACAAATTCGCCAATAACAAACATCTGAAAGAGGAGATCTTGGTTTTTTGTTTTGTTTTTGTTTGGTGTTTCAGTGTTAGATCATTCTTTTTTTTCCTATCTAGGATGATTTCCAGATCAGAGAGTGCCATTCCTCCACCTCCCAGAGCCCCAGCTCCTGTCCCTCCAGGGACTGTTACACAGGTGGATGTCCGGAGCCGGGTGGCAGCTTGGTCTGCATGGGCAGCTGAACAGGGAGATTGTGAGTGTTTCTAAAACTTTGAGATGTGATTCAAAGACTCTGGATGTTCTGCTCTGAACATTAGGGAGCCTTGCCTTAGGGCAATATGACTCGTTCTTGTAAATGTCCTAGCAGAATAAATTGAAGGTATTCTACTCTCATTTAGCTTATGTTTCAACTCTTGTTTTAGTTTACTTTTTAAAGAAATATTTTGACCCACATCTGGGAGATCACTCAATGGTGTCTAGTCTTGAGTATGACTAGACTGTTGAACAAGCAAGCTGTTAGTCAAATCAGGTATGGAGAAAGACAGCAATTGACATCAAGATTAAGAAGCCATGCCAAGGTTTTTAATGATATTTGAGCCTAAAATAAGATATCAGAACAAGTCAAAGTGACATAAATGACCAGGGCAAGTTTAAAATATTTACATTTTTACAAAGAGCCGAGGTGGCACAATGGTTAGAGTGTAGTACTGCAGCTACTTCAGCTGACTGCTAGTTCAGCAGATCAGCGGATCAAATCTCACCGGCTCAAGGTTGACTCAGCCTTCCATCCTTCTGAGGTGGGTAAAATGAGGACCCAGATTGTTGGGGGCAATATGCTATTTAGTATACTGTCTTTGGTGTAAGCCGCCCAGAGTCCTCGGAGAGTGGGCGGCATAGAAATATGACAAACAAACAAACAAACAAATAAATAAATAAAATCAGAGGTTGATGGGAGAAAAATGGAATAATAAATGTTTACTGACATAGTATTTCCAATATTAGCTCTTTTAGACCTAAAATTTGTCAAATTTTGATTGGGCATCACCAAGCGTTTTAAGTTTCTCTTATTAGATTTAGAGAAATTCTTTCTAATTAGCCTTTCACTCCTGAATAGCACAATAGTCTTGATATCTACTCTTAAGACACATATTTTATGGGATTGCACATTTTACTAAATCATAACCTTAAACTTAGGCAGGATTCAGATGAATGTCGGATACTTCGTGGTTCAATATATCATGTGGATACAACCATCATGTTGTTGGGCCTGAACCCATAGATGTTTGCATTCCTTAGAGCTTGGCTGGACTTTGGCCAAATGTTGTTTCCCAAACTTCAGCCCCTTGTGGTGGATCCCATACTTTACAGCACAGAAAGTCTACATTCTAGGTGTCTCCATCTCAACCGTCTTAGGCATCAAGGTTAGAGAAAGCCTGCAGCAAAAATCTTCTCTGCAAGCATCGTATTTGGATGACATAAATAAGGAGTTTGAAATTGGATTTCCAGCAAATATAATGGGAGCATCGCTCCAATTCACGCTTAAAAGATAGAAATGTGTGGATTTCTTGGCAAGAATATTAGCAAAATTATGCTTTGTAGCTTTAGCAAGCTGAATGCATATTTCTGTATTGACGATAGGCGACTGTTATATTCCCAAGATGACTACAAGGTCCTTATGTAAGATGCTTCCTGTATTCCCCCAATATCTGAGATCTCTAGGATGTATAATAGGGCCAAAGACTTTTATTATGATAGTTCTTTAAATATAGGGTATGCATTTTGGGTGGGGTATTTGACCCTGCTCTCTTCTTCCAATTCCATTTACATTTTCCAAATATGTAACCATTGGTGTTTTATTTCGGTTTTCATAGGCCACATTCATTCATTACTGAAGTAATATATTTTCCAGTTCACATGATAGATTGCATGATAAGCTAATCCGATCACCTAGTTCTCACAAAACCCAAAGCCACAGTCATCACATTTTTAACACTTGGCATTAGTTGCCAAAATTTTGTCAACATAATGGCCTTGAAATATGCAAGGACTAAAACTTCCATGATATCCATTGGGTTGGCTGTTGAGTTGGAAGAAGCTGCAAATCACAATACTAATGAAGAAAAATACCTTCCAAATCACACCTTATTTGTGATCTGTTGAATGATGCAGACTTTCTTATTTCATTCAGAGAAAAGCCATTCAATCTTAGGATGTTGCACAAATATAAACGCTACATTTTTCAGGAACTTTGGAAAAATTGGTGGGGGCAACCACAGCTACTGTTTCTCTCCCCTGAGGAAGCTTCTCTTCATCTCCTTGTCTCTTTAGGTGAGAAACCAAAGCAATACCACGAGCATGAAGAAACGGCTGAAATGATGGCAGCCAAGATTGACCGAGATGTTGTAAGTGACCAAAGAGAGATTGCTTTGCAAGAGGTTTTGATGTTCCTCAAACTCATGGTGTTGGAAGAAATGTCCATCTGGGTTCAGTTCCAAGTGGGGGGAAAAGATTCATGGTGGATGTTTGGAAAGATGGTTTAATGGTGGACAGGATCACATGGCTTAATATCCCGGGCAAAAAAGGCCCATGGAGCGGAGAGAGAGAGAGAGATTTATACCCTCTGTTGGGATTTGAATTTGAGCTTGTATTCTGATTGGTTGTCAGACTCCAATGGGGCCATGCAGGGGTAACTTTGTAGGTTGTCTGTGTTCCAGGCTTGGTTGAGCCTTGCTGGGTGATGATGTAATGAAAGGGCATTGGGCAATTCCTATTATGGCTCTGCCTGGAGGAGGTAGATCTTTATTATGTAGAATAGACTGGCCCAGGCCTTAATGGCCCATTGACAAAGGTGGGGTGGGGTGTGGGCTGAGTTTCTGCTTCCGTTTTAGGGGAAATATTCTGACTTTTTAATATTTCCTAAAATATCTCATTTTCCTAGGAGAGGGGTGGGTGCTAACTTCCTACAGTGGGGCAGGAGATATTATCCACTCATTTTTTTTTTCTCCCAACAGTAAACTTCAGGGCTGTGAAATAGGAAGACATTTAATGGTTACTAAGCTCATTTATTCCAGAATTCCATCTAGAAGCTGCCCAATACTTCAGTTATGGAGCGGAGCTTAAATAACCTCCTGCCACTACCTCCTTTTCTTCATGCTGGCTTCTGTTCAGTATTTAATAGTCTCGGGTGCTTCCCTACCTCTTCCCTAATGAGCAACATGCCTTATTTAAAAGACTTCTATTTTATTCTCAATCAAGTCCCAGCATCGATTGCCCCCTTGAATTTTTTAAGGCTCCAATTCCATTTCGTTCCCGGTCTGACCAGCAGTGGGAGGCAACCGATATCTTCCCAGATTGCAAGAAAAAGTCCAACAGCAGGCAATATTGTGATTTGTGTTGATTTTGATTAAAACGGAGGGTTTTTTTTTTTCAGCAGTCAAGGGTGTAAAAAAAAAAGGAAGGTGTGGAATCCGGATTTGCATAATTTCTGGTTAAGTTTGGGGAAGCGGGGCTGTTTTTCATGCTTTATGTTTACTAGGCTGTACTGCTCCTGCCACAATTTCTTCTTAAAAGTGTGAAGCAACCCTGGGAGTCAGATGAAAAAAAAAAGACATCCTTCAGTTGCCTAGCAACTGCAGTGTGATTGTCTGGCACCCTCTCGGAACTTAAGGCATGGCTGCATGGAGGGTGTTAGTTGAGGTAGGGAAGAGTGAGATGGAGGATTTGTAAGCCTGGTAAGGATGTGTAGAGGATGTGTGGGTGGGTGGGTTCTTCCACAGGATATTAAAAGTGGAAAGACCAAGGTGCTATATTAACTACTGACCAGTAGGAGGCACCACATGACCACTAAATGCCCCTGTATACTCTACATCAGGGGTCTCCAACCTTGCTAACTTTAAGACTTGTGGACTTCAACTCCCAGAGTTCCTCAGCCAGCAAAGCTGGGAGTTGAAGTCCACAAGTCTTAACGTTACCAAGGTTGGAGACTCCTGCTTTACATGCAACACCTGAGAGTTCAACTCCCCTTGAGCGGCTGTACATAGAGCATCTAAGAAGAAGTTTTCTTAGAAGACTGGATTGGAGGCTAAAACATATGAAGAATGGCTGCAGGAACTGGGTATGACTAGTTTAATGAAAAGGAGGACTAGAGGAGACATGATAGCAGTATTCCAATATCTCAGGGGCTGCCACAAAGAAGAGGGAGTCAAGCTATTCTCCAAAGCACCTGAAGGTAGAACAAAAAGCAATGGATGGGAACTAATCAAGGAGAGAAGCAACTTAGAACTAAGGAGAAATTTCCTGACAGAAGAATTAATCAGTGGAACAACTTGCCTGCAGAAGTTGTGAATGCTCCAACACTGGAAGGTTTAAGAAGATGTTGTATAACCATTTAACTGAAGTGGTGTAGGGTTTCCTACCTGGGCAGGGGGTTGGACTAGAAGACCTCCAAGGTCCCTTCCAACTCTGTTATTCTATTCTATTCTATTCTATTCTATTCTATTCTATTCTATTCTATTCTATTCTATTCTATTCTATTATTCTATTCTATTCTATGAATTCTTCTATGTCTGAAGAGTTCCAATTCACACAATAGTGTGCTTTCTACTGGACAGGTAACTAATATAACATAATGCTACTTACTGTGGGCCAAGTAATGCAGCTGGTCTTGAGGCCTGTAGCATGAAAACAATTTGAAGGCATATTGGGAGTGGGTGGTTGGGAAGGAAGGTGCATAGGTCCTTTAAAACCAAGATAGCCACCTTCTTCCTTGAACAGCGGTTTTCATATCAGAGTTTATCACAAGGAGCTTCCCCCCAGCATCTGCCCTGGAAATCTTTTTGTTTTTTTTCTCATGTTGCTGATAATCCTGAGAGCATGTTCTTTTTCATGTACTTAGGACGAACTGGGAATCCTTGTATACTTAGGGTGCTGCCGGATGAACTGGGAATGCAATGTATGAGTTTATAACAATTTCCTTTCCCAGATGTGGATTTCAGAGTAAGATTGATACAGGCGAGGGAAAGAAAGTTGGCTGATCATTACTGATCATTTATTTCAGAAATTCCTGATAAATTTTCAAAGATCCATAGGGATTCCACAGCAAGGACAGTTGAAAGCTCAAGTGCCATAAATAACAACATGGTACAATGTCGTTATGTTTTGTGATTTCTTTTGTGCTTTCAAGTGAGTTTTTGACTCCTGGTGACTGCCTGGACAAGTTCCTGCAGTTTTCTTGGCAGGATTTCCAAAGTGGTTTGCCATTGCCTCCTTCCCAGGGCTGAGAAAGAGTGGTTGGCTCAAGGTCACCGTTGTGCCTAAGGCAGGACTAGAACTCATGATCTCCCAGTTTCTCGCTTGATGCCTTATTATTATTATGATTGGTTGGTTGGTTGGTTGCAAAATCAGCCAGATGTTTATACTGGATTTGGCATTTTTATCCACCTATTGAGTCCTTCCCAAGGACCTGGGATAGGCAGATGTTTGTTGGTAAAGGGACCCTGGCAGGATGTGAGCTGCTCCAAGTAAAACTGCCTTTTGCAATTGATTAACAATTTCTATTAATGTTGATGGTATTCAAGTGGAACTCCAGTTCTGGAATTTCACCTATTGTTATTGATACTATCTTTGCTCGTGATTATTATTATTATATGATATATAATATTTTAATATTATGATATAATATTGTCGATGATGTTAATTGGTGTTACTGACCATTTTATTAGGATTACAGTGAATATTTTCCCCATCTCTTCATCTTCCCCCTCTATTTTATTGTCGTAAGAACTTCCTTAGTTATAAAAATAATGTTCAAGATAATGCACGTTGTGCTTCGGATGATATGAGAGTTGAACATGCACCTGGTCAGGCATAGGATAGGATAGGATAGGATAGGATAGGATAGGATAGGATAGGATGGATAGGATAGGATAGAAATAGAATAGAATAGAATAGAATAGAATAGAATAGAATAGAATAGAATAGAATAGAATAGAATAGAATAGAATAGACAGAGTTGGAAGGGACCTTGGGGGTCTTCTAATCCAACCCCTGCTTAGGCAGGAAAACCTACACCACTTCAGACAAATGGTTATACAACCTCTTCTTAAAAACTTCCAGTGTTGGAGCATTCACAACTTCTGCAGGCAAGTTGTTCCACTGATTAATTGTTCTGTCAGGAAATTTCTCCTTAGTTTTAGGTTGCTTCTCTCCTTGATTAGTTTCCACCCATTGCTTCTTGTCCTGCCCTCAGGTGCTTTGGAGAATAGCTTGACTCCCTCTTCTTTGTGGCAGCCCCTGAGATATTGGTATCATATAACACTGCTATCATGTCTCCCCAGTCCTTCTTGTCATTAGTTCCAGCAACCGTTCTTTATATGTTTTAGCCTCTGATTAGGACCTTCTAGTTAGGATCCTCTGATTTAGGAATAAGTAACAGTGGCCATCAAGGGATTGCCAAACCATTCCCAACAGTTTTAGCCTAGTTGGCTGTAGTGCTGGCAGTTCTATTTTAGCAATATCTGGAGGGCTACATATCCTGTCTCCTTCTCTGATCGTTATCCTACTAGACTGTATTTTATTCCAATTTAATTTTAAATCGTATTTTATTCCAATTTCCTTTTAAATTGTATTTTACCCAATTTCCATTTTAAATTACTTTTATCAAATTTTAGTAATAATTTGTTTCTGGAACTCTGCACTTTGATATGGCCCAAGGGCTAATCAATCAATAAAAATAATAATACTAAGGGTCATGAGATAGGTATTTGGAGGCTATAAAAACTTAATTCAGGACCGAATGAAAAGAAAGGAGGCGGAGTACCCTGTTTCCCCGAAAATAAGACCCAACCGGAAAATAAGTCCTAGCATGACTTTTTCAAGATGCTCGTAATATAAGCCCTACCCCCAAAATAAGCCCCAGTTAAGATTGTCAGCCAGATGGGTGCATTTTATACCATATTTCCCCCAAAATAAGACCTAACCAGAAAATAAGCCCTAATGCGACTTAGAGTGAAAATTAATATAAGACCCGGTCTTATTTTTGGAGAAACACTGTAGTAACTTTAGAACTATATTTGCATGTACCTTGGAACTTCTCCTACACAAGGCCTTCAATTGCTTTTTGTACTGAGAGCTAAAAATACTTTAAGTGGATCCCGACTCTCATGTCATAACCACACCGGGGGGTGGGGGGACCAACTGCTAACTAGAGCAGAAATAGTTTTATAAGTTCATAATTGTTTGCCATAAGATAAGGCTAAAAAAAGGTTTCTCTAGCACTCCAGAAAGAATACAGTTAAGTCAAGATCGTGCGTGGGAAGATCTCAAATAATTACGGCCCAATCTTAACCAAGCACGGAGCTTTTATTGATGCTAACTTTTAGAACAAAGGGGGAAACATAGACTCAAGCGATATGGTAATATCAGGCCATATTCACTTTACAAGGTGTCACTTTCTGTAGATTAATGCACAGGTTCTCTTGCAATGACTCTCATTCTTCATAACTAACTCTACAACATTTTGGGTGATGTTCCTTACATTCATAAATGACGCCCACTCTTTATTTCCTTTAGCAAATCCTGAATCATATTCTGGATGACATTGAATATTTTGTCACCAAGCTTCAGAAAGCAGCAGAAGCTTTTACAGAACTTTCAAAGCGGAAGAAAAGCAAGAAAAATAAGAAGAAAGGACCAGGTGGTAAGGAGCAGAATCGTTTCTTCTTTCAGTGGCTTTCTGATCACATTTCACTGGGCTGAACTGTTAAGAGTTCCTCTATTTAGTTAGATAAGTAATTGCATTGGGCATTCAACCAACCTTACCCTTCAATCATGATTTGTTTGTTACACTCCTGTCATGTCTGGGATCAGATTTATGCTTAATGTTTGACTAATGTTGAAAAGAACAGGCAGCTGATCTTTTCTCTATTCTGTCATTCGTTTGCATACATACACACCAGAACAAAGAAAAGGAGTATGAATCAACATTTTTTTAAAAAAAGGAATTTCCGCAAGGCATCCGTCTTGAGTCAATTAACTCTTTTGTTTGGATTAAGGGTGTGTTAGTTTGGAGTAGTATGAAATCTTGTGAAATGTTCCATTTCAAATGCAAAATGGGCTCTTTCAAGTGTTTTGGAAATTTTATTTTTATTTTTTCAATCCGGGAACAGAGATTATCTCTTTCAAACTCTACATTTTCCAAAATGTTTGAAATAGTCCATCTCATGCTGGAGTTTCCCGCTCTTGAAGTGGGATTTGTAAAAACTTTTCAGAACAAAATCATTTGCATCTAAATATATTACACATTTTTTCCCATGTGTGTGAGAGAGAGACAGCCAGTGTGGTATTGTGGTTAAGGAACCACTGGTGTGAGAATCCTGGTGGTGCAGGAGTTAAAATGCAGTATTGCAGGCAAACTCTGCCCACAGTCTGGAGTTTGATCCTGAACAGGCCCAAGGTTGACTCATCTTTCCATCCTTCTGAGATTGGTAAAATGAGGATCCAGATTGTTGGGGGTAATATACTGACATTGTAAACCACTCAGAGAGGACTATGGAGTGGTATGTAAGTCTAAATACTGTTGTTATTGCTATTGCGAAGGTACAGGAATGAGGAGATTCATGCACAGGTGCTAGCTGCCAGTCATTCACTCTCAGCCATAGGTCAAAGTGGAAAATTATTGATCTACTATCCCACATTGGTCCAGTGTGGTATATTAGTGTTTCTCAACCCCAGTAAGCTACATAGACTTCAATTCAGGGTGAAGTCCAACAGGTTCTGACAGGTTCTGGAGAACCGGTAGCGGAAATTTTGAGCAGTTCAGAGAACCGGCAAATACCACCTCTGGCTGGCCCCAGAGTGGAATGGAGATTTTGCAGTATCCTTCCCCTGCCACGCCCACCAAGCCATGCCACGCCCACCAAGCCATGCCCACAGAACCGGTAGTAAAAAAATTTGGTTTTCACCACTGCTTTAACTCCTAGAATCTCCAGCCTAATATGCTGACTGAGGAATTCTGGGAGTTGAGGCTCAGCCAATCTCATTGTACACATGTTGTACTCTGACAATAAAGGTTTGAATTGAATTAAAGTACATGGAAAGTTCTGGGAGTTGAAGCACATGTTAAAGTTGCTGACGTTGAGAAACACTGTAGTGGATTACATCCATAATCTTCAATGAAAAAGTCTTCATCCTTTGGTGGATTGATCATCCTTGGGCTCATTCTCTCTGTCTCTGTCTCTGTCTCTCTCTCTCTCTCTCTCTCTCTCTCTCTCATTCTTTCTCTCTCTCTCATTCTTTCTCTCTCTCTCATTCTTTCTCTCTCCCCCTCTCTCCCCCTCTCTCCCTCCCTCCCTCCCTCTCTCTCATCTTGTGTCTTCAAGAGTGGATAGATGACCCCCCTGTGCTGCCCCTCCCCCCCCACGCAGGTGCAAATGACCCCCCGTGCATGCACACGTGACCCCCCCCTCCCCGCGCCCCGTTTTGGGCCTAGCAGGCCTCCCTGAAGCCTCCGGAGGCCAGAAACCAGAGGTGAAATGCTCCCAGATCGGACCGGATCACCTGATCCGGTAGCGATTTTTCCTTGTGGTTTGGCAAACTGGTAGCGATTGCCACCCAGGTGTCATTACTTTCTGATTTTAACCAGGAAGTAATGTTTTTTTTACCTTCTGCACATGCGCAGAAGGTTTTGCACATGCGTAGAAGGTGTGCGCATACATGTAATGCACATGCGTGCACCGGTAAGGAAGGTAAGTAGATTTCACCCATGCCAGAAACGGCGCGTTTCCGGACTTCCGGTTGGCCCGTTTTTCGCCCTCCCAGAGCCTCCACGCAAGCCCTGTACTTACCTGGCTTCCCAAACGGATTGCGTGGAGACTTCTGGGAGAGGAGGAGCGGCATGGGCATATGCATGGCAGAGACCCGAAAATTAGCTGGCCAGTGGGAGGCGCGCATCCATGCGCAGTGGATCTGACAGCTCGCGTGTCCACAGAAATGGCTCCACGTGCCACCCTTGGCACGCGTGCCATAGGTTCGTCATCTTAGACCTAGAGAATGCTATCTTGGGGGCAGGTTGGTTATTACCATACTGCAGAGTGAGTTGGAGGAGAATAAATTTATATGAAGAATGGGCTGCCAACTTTAAAAAAGTTTCTTGCTGATAACACTTTCTTCCAGTAGTCAAAGGACTGAGGTAGGACTCCATTGCTTCTATAGTTTATGGAGGACATTCCAAATGAGACTTGAAGCTACACAGTCCATTTATACATCTCATTCAGTCTAGAATCTCATTCTCCTGTTTTGCCAGTGATGAAAATATTTCTATAGGTACTCCTCTAAGTGATTTTGGGTTCATTTTTCTATTTTTCAGAGGGGGTCTTAACTCTCCGTGCAAAGCCTCCAACTGCAGATGAATTTGTGGACTGTTTGCAAAAATTTAAGCATGGTTTCAACCTTTTGGTAAGTGAATATAAACTGGCTACTCAAAGCAATTCCAGGTTTTTGTTGAAGCTTGATAGCAATAGTCTGTTTGTTTTTTTAAATCTGTTGTTGCCATCTGCCACTGTGGATTTCACTAGCTTTCCTATAAATTGCAACTTGGATTTCCTTAACTGAATACACTATCTTAGCAATTGTACAAACTGCTTCTGAATTATTTGTTTTAGAACAAAAGGGAAATGATCTAAAGGGGTGAGCAAACAGTGGCATTATAGCTCACTTTCTTTAGAGATATGTTTTAAAAAAATTTCCATCACACTCAGCTAAAGTACTGCAACTTCCAGGACTGAAGTTTTTGCTGGTTTTTTTTTCAAGCTACAACACAAGAATCTTTCTAGGGTGCTAAAGACAATCTTCAGAGAGTATAAAGAATGTGTTTAGATATTCCTACTTTCACCCTCTTCTTCCCTTTCCTGCAAACTTCCAATAACTTCATTTTGGGGTTTTTTGATACACTGATCCTAGCATGTAAACTATCACTGTTACTGATTCTAGAGCATAGAAAGAGGGCTATTTTAGTAATATACATCATAATGATTGAATTGTCTTAGACATCTGTTGCTTTTCATCTGTGTTTCAATGCCTAATTTAAAATTTTCAGGATGGATGCCAAAGAACTAAAACATTAAGAGAGACAATCAGGACTAACCCTTTAAAAAAAAGTCTTGAAATTTTTCTTGAAAATATTGCATTTAATAAATAAACCTTGAAATAATGTTTATTAAGAAATTAACCCTAAAAACATACTTACTGCATCAGAATGACTGCATTGCTCATTTAAAAGATTGGCTTTGGTTTATTCAGAAAAATATGGCTTAAATACATCCTTATTTAGTTTAAGAAATTTTTTATTAGATTGAGTAGATTAGATTGATCAGAGGATTAGTCTTATCTATCATCTATCTATCATCTATCTATCTATCTATCTATCTATCTATCTATCTATCTATCTATCTATGTCTTATTTATTTATAACAACATTGTATCAGGGGTGGGTTCTACTTACCTTTACTACCGGTTCGCAACAAGAGCGCAAGTGCACATGCGCAGAAGCTCCTGTGCATGTGCAGATCACCCATGATGATATCATGGCGGGTGGACGGAGCCTCTCGCCAGTTCTATAGAACCGGACCGAACTGGGAGCAACCCACCATTGCATTCTATATGTCTCAATGTATAAACTTTTGGGATTTTAGCTGGTTTATCATTATACAAATGTAATTCCTTTTATTAATAACTAAGTTATGGCATGAACTGTGTTTGAGATATTTCAAATGCCAGTTTGAACTGCTGAACTTTGTTCTCATAAGCTCTTCCACACTCTCCCTTTTTACCTTTCACAGGCTAAATTAAAATCACACATCCAGAATCCCAGTGCAACTGAACTGATTCACTTTCTGTTTACTCCTCTAAATATGGTAAGTCTGAAATATGATTTAATATCTAGAGGCTCAGCTGAGTGCATCGAATTTACAGTGTTGAATGCAGAGGGTGTATGAATCATGGAAATCAAAACCTTCTTTTTTTATTGGCTTCCTTAGAGGTAGCTTACTCCATATTGAAATAAAAAGTCTCATCTGTTTTAAACGCCTTGATGGTATTTTAGTCAATTTTACCAATTCCAAGGGTTTTATTTGGCCCAGAATCAAGAAGGAGCTCAACATTTTGAGCTTACATTTCAAAACTCAAAACTCATGTTTAATATACAGAGTTTAATCTACAGAGTACAGGTAGTCTTCAACTTTTGGAATTTTAATTCTAAATAAAAAAAATTCCATAAGCCTGGAATTTTGGTCATGGGTCGTAGTGGTAGGTCAAGTCACCACATGATTGGACTCAATTTTACGACCATTTTTACATTGGTATTTAAGCAAGTTACTTTGGTCATTAAACAAATCATGTGGTTTTTAAGCAAATCCTATAGTTGTAAGTCCTAATCCAACTTATTCAATGGGCATTTTTTTGTCAGAAAACAGCAAAAAAGTCTAAAATGCAATCACATGATCACAGGATTCAGCAACCATTCATACATGCAAATGCAAGTGTTTGAAATGCAATCACACGACCACGGGTGGTGTGGCAGTTGTAACTTTGAGGACTGGCCATAAATAACGTTTTTTGAGTTTGTCCTAACTTTGAACAGTCCATTGAATGACCAATCATAAATTGAGAATTACCTGTATGCATGTCTATGGAGTTTCTCAGTCATCCAGGTCATAGTTTTTCCAAAGGTGCTTTTTCAAAAGGCAACTGGACTTTCTGGTTTTTCTTTGAAGAGGTTTCACTTCTCATCCAAGAAGCTTCATCAGGTTCTTCTTCATTTCAGAAAAACAAAGAAAGTCCAGTTGCCTCTTGAAAAAAACACCTTTGGGGAAACCTGTATTCAAGGCAAAGGATCTTGCCCAGTGGTGGTATTCAGCCAGTTCTATCTGGTTCAGGTGAACCAATAGCAGTGGCTGTGGGAGGCTCTGCCCACCCGCCTGGACGTAATCACGTCCCGTTTCTGATGCTTTGCGCATGGCAGAAGGTCCTGTGATGCTCACATGCGCAGAAGGTCCCGCGCGCTCACATTTGCGAACCGGTAGCGAAGATAAGTGAATACCACCCCTGATCTTGCCCCTTTTAAAATGTACAAAAACAAAAACTCCAATCCACATATACATAGATTTTCAAAGGAAAACCAGAAATTGTGTTAATCCTACCCAATTACCTCTGTTAAATAACAGGGCATTATCACTGCATACCAGGGGTGAAATCTACTTACCTTCCCAACCGCTTCAGAAGTGTACGTGCCGCACTCGCAGGCTAGCTTCACTCGCACGTGCGAATCACGTGTGCGCGTGGACTCTCTGTGCATGTGTAGAAGGTAAAAAAACAGGTTACTTCCTGATTAAAACTAGGAAGTGATGACTGGGCGGGTGGATGGAGCCTCGCATTACCATCGCTACCAGTTCTCCGAACCACCAGCTGCCATCGCTACCGGTTCTCCGAACCACCAGCCGCCATTGCTGCCGGTTTGGCCAAACCAGTCTGAACCGGGAGCATTTCATCCCTGCTGCATACAACTACCGGCTCTATTCTACAAGCGACCACATCATCTCAGTGCGCATTTATTATTTCTCATAGGTGGTGCAATCAACAGGAGGGCCTGAGCTCGCTAGCACAGTGCTCAGCCCTCTTTTGACAAAAGACACCATCGAGTTTTTACGCTGCATTGTCACGAGTGAAGAAGGACAACTCTGGATATCTCTAGGAAATGCATGGACCAAAGCCAGGTAACAATTGAGTTGAATGTCATATATTTGAACTGTGTAAAACTTCATGGGCGTATTCTTCTTTTTTCACCAATCTGCACATCCTTCAGAATGGAATGGAAGGGAATGAGAATGGGAATAGGAAAGACAGAGTTGGAAGGGACCTTGAAGGTCTTCTAGTCCAATCTCCTGCTTAGGCAGGAAACCCTACACGACTTCAGACAAATGGTTATCCAATCTCTTCTTAAAAATTTACAGCATTCATAACTTCTGGAGGCAAGTTGTTCCACCATTTTTAGTCAGAAAAATTCTCCTTAGTTCTATCTTACTTCTCTCCTTGATTAGTTTCCATCCTGTATAAGTTCAAGAAAATTTTTATATTCTTGAGTTTTTTATTCAGTTATTAATGTTTCTGTTTCCTTTTTTTTTCCTGATGAAAAAATTCAGAAGCTTATTGGCAAAGCCTCTTGGTATGAAGAGGCTCCTTATATATCAATTAGCCAGTATCGGTTAATTGATCATACAAATCAATAGCCATTTTGAGCAGATGCTCACAGCTTTTATAATGAAGAGTCAATCTGGGTGGCTGGAGAGTGACACAAATCAGTGATCATAATTACATGATTGTCAGCCTGCATTAAAACAGACCCATACAGAGATAATTATGCACATGTAATTACAGCCATTAATAAATTTTGAAATGATTGAGGGTGTTGTAAATAGATCCATTCTTGACACTGATGATTACAAGAAATGCAGGCAAAAATGTGTGAAATGTTTTCTGTACAGGAAAAAAAAAACAAGAGAGGAAAGCCAAAAGTATGAGATAAGGCGGAATTTCCACCACAATTCTTAATTCATGCAGTAGGCATGCTGTTTCAGCATACAGGTAGTCCTTGACATATGATCACAATCAGCCCAAAATTTATGTTGCCAAGTGAGAACTGTTGCCAAGTTAAGTGAATTTTGCCCCTATTTATGACCTTTCTTACCACAGTTGCTAAGTGAATCACTGCAGTTCTTAATTTAGTGACATGGTTGTTAAGTGAATCTGGCTTTCCCATTGATATTTGCTTGTCAGAAGGTCACAAATGGGGATCATATGACCCTGGGACACTGTAGCCATCATAAATATGAAACAGTTGTCAAGCATCTGAATTTTGATCATTTAACTACCCTGTTTCCCCTAAAATAAGACTCAACCGGAAAATAAGCCCTAGTATGATTTTCCCTACCCCAAAAATAAGCCCCAGTTAAGATTGTCAGCCAGACGGACGCATTTAGTACCGTATTTCCCCAAAAGTAAGACTGGAAAATAAGCCCTAATGCATCTTTTGGAGCAAAAATTAATATAAGACCCGGGTCTTATTTTGGGGGAAACACGGTGTAGGGATATTGTAATGGTTGTAAGTGTGAAAAATGATCATGTCACTTTTTTCAGTACCATTGTAACTTCAGTCATTAAAAAAACTGCTGTAAGTCAAGGACTACCTGTAATGCTTCCCTTTTTTAAAAAAACTCCACTGTAATATTGTCTATCCAGAAAACTGTCCTTGATACAGAGAGATCCTGTAGAAATCCTCATTGGGGAGGATAGGCAAACTGCCCTTTATTGATCTGGAATGTTCCAGAATTCCAAGCTAGTACAGCATTTCGAATTTGGAGAGTTGTAATCCCAGCCCATCTGTTGGGGAAGTTTTTGCTGAAATTTTTTTCAACATTTTTGCTGTGTGTCAAGGTTCAGACGGCTGCCCTAATTAAATCATGAGCCTCAAAAAGAAATCCAGTTATTTATTAGGAGCTTCATATTGGCACGTTCCAAGTGAAGCCAACTCTGACCCCATGTAATTTACAGCCGAGACTTGATCCTGTTCCCCCCCCCCACCGGGTGTGTCATCAGTCACATTCACCAATGGAGAAATTTCACGGGTTGTAGAGATCACTCCCCTCCGGTTGCTGTGGGTAACCCTGGGAGACAGCCTTGAGATAGATATGTCTGGAATGTGCTTTTGTTTTTGGCTGCTGTGCTGCTTCGCCGTTTTCCCATCCCCCTTGCCTATAGCAACTCGAGAACAGTCCAGGGATGCTTTGCGAGTTGACACTGTCGTTATCGAGGGAGGAATATGAATAGCATTGAAAGTTCTCTGTGTTTTGAGACTTTACTCCCCTTCAGATTGAAAGTTCATTTTAAGGAGACCACTCAAAAAGCAGAGACAAGATTTTATCGCCAGGTCTTTACTTGTCCCTCAAAATAGTTAAGAGAACCAAGGAGAGAAGCAACCTAGAACTAAGGAGAAATTTCCTAACGGTGAGAGCAATCAAGCAATGGAATAGCTTACTTTCAAAAGTTGTGAGTTCTCCATCACTGGAGACTTTTAAAAAGAGACTGGACAACCATTTGTTTGAAGTTGTATAGGGTCTCCTGCTTGAGCAGGGGGTTGGACTAGAACACTTCTAAGGTCCATTTCAACATGAGCCTTGGTGATGCAGCGGACTAAGTGCTGTTATGTAGCACTTAGCTGCCAGCTGCCTGCAATTAGTGCGAGTTCAAATCTCACCAGGCTCAAGGTTGACTCAGCCTTCCATCCTTCCGAGGTAGGTAAATTGAGGACCCGGATTGTGGGGGCAATAAACTGACTTTGTAGAAACACCGCTTACAGGGGGCCAAAAGCCCTAATAAACAGGTATATACAAAAGAATGAAGGCTATTGCTATAAGTGCATTGTAAGCCGCCCTGAGCCTTTGGAGGAGGGCGGCATATTTATTTTATTTTATTTTATTTTATTTTAAATTTATATACCGCCCTTCTCCCTGAGGACTCAGGGCGGTGTACAGCCAGAATTAAAAAACATAAAATACAAATATTAAAAACAATTAAAATATATATAAATTTGGCCCAAAATTAAAAAATACAAACCAATTAAAACATTTAAAATTTCTTCTTAAGCCAGCCCGGCTTGCTGGAAAAAGTGGGTTTTAAGGGCACGGCGGAAGGCACTAAGGTCTTGGATTCTCCTTATCTCTGGGGGCAACTGATTCCAGAGGGTAGGTGCCCCCACAGAGAGGGCCCTCCCCCTGGGGGTCACCAGCCTACATTGATTGGCTGATGGCACCCTGAGGAAGCCCTCTCTGTGGGAGCGCACGGGACGATGGGAGGTCGTCGGTAGCAGCAGGCGGTCTCGAAGATAGTTAGGCTATATATAAATTGAACTAATAAATAAATAAATAAATAAATAATAAACTCTCTTATTTTATAGTCTATGTTCTACTTCCTCTTAGTTCCTATTGACATACTGATTTTGAAATGTGCCAGGAGTGACCTTTAGGACACAGAAGATTCCCCTATCTATCTATCTATTCCCCTCCCTATCTCTTTGTTGCCCTTGGTTGTCACATCCTTGGTAACAATATTCTCCTGTACGGGGGTGATGGGAGATGTTCTTCTCCCAGGCGTTGCTGCCATTTCAATCCAATGAGAAGAATTTCAGAGTGGGTTTAGCCCCCCAGTGTTGATTTCTAAGCTCGCTCGGGGAAGTTTCACACTACCTTGAATAAAGAGAGGATGAAGGTCTTGTTGAAAAAATTGTATTCGTTCGAATGAACTTGAAGGGCCAGAGGACATCTCCCCCGCTGCCATCAAACGCGACAACAACTCTTAAAAATGTCTTCTCACCTTCCCATCCATGCTTGTAAATGAACAGAAGCCATGCCAGCATGCAATTAATTTTGGCTTTTCCTTAAGCCTAATTGGCATTTGTCGCTTTGATTCATTTTTGAGAATAGTGCTCCGCATATCCGCATATATATATATGGAGGCGGCAGTAATTAATGCCATGGCATTTTTGTGCAGGGCCTCTGATAATGGAAAGAAAATCTGGCTTTCTAACGCACAACTTCAAGTAGGAAGAGCGGGTTGATCTCGGTGGAATATTTTTCACGATTCCTGAAATAATTGTCTAGCTGGAAACTGTTGACAACTCATCTCATGAGTATAAGAAACGTGGAAGTATTACCACATTTTTCATTTGGCTATACAGATTTTATTTTCCCATAAATTGAGGGCAAACATCAGTCATACATTCTCAACTCATCCCGCATTTTTTTTTTGCTCCAATGCATTCAAGCGCCATTCCATTCCAAAATATCTAATGATGTAGTACACCAGAGGTGCATAGAGTTCTCTAATATTGGAAGACTTTAGTCACAAAAGTGTCCTTACTAAATTTCTTTTCATTTCAGTATTCAGCCTTCTGATCCCAGTATTCTCCAAACACATTGGAATATAAAGCTAGATAATCTCATCTCTCTCTCTCTCCCTCTCTCTCTCTCTCTCCCTCCCTCTCCCCCCCTCCCTCCCTCCCTATCTATCTATCTATCTATCTATCTATCTATTCTATTTATCTTATATCCATCCATCCATCCATCCATCCATCCATCCATCCATCCATCCATCCATCCATCCATCCATCTATCTATCTATCTATCTATCTATCTATCTATCTGTCTATCTATTTACATTAGGTTGGAAAAGATTGTTGGGATCTTAAGGGAAATTGTTGTTTGGTATATGTAGTCCTTGACTTACAACCACAATTCAGCCCAAAATGTCTGTTGCTAAGTGAGAGAGTCGTTAAGTGAATTTTGCCCCATTTTACAGCCTTTCCGGCCACAGCTGTTAAGTGAATCACTGGAGTTGTTAAGTTAGTAGCACAGCTGTAAAGTGAATCTAGTTTCCCCATTGACTTTGCTTGTCAGAAGGTCACAGAAGGTGATCACATGACCCCAGGACGTTGCAACTGTCATAAATATGAATCAGTTGCCAAATGGCTGAATTTTGCTCACACAACCAGGCAGTTGCTGCAATGGTCATCCATGTCAAAAACAGGCGTAAGTCATTTTTTTCAGTGCCGTTGTAACTTCAAATGGTCACTAAACGAAAGATTGTAAATTGAGGACTACCTGTACAGTTGTAACAAGAAATTGGAGCCAGCCTTCTTAGGGTCTTCTTTCTTTCTTCCAATACTATTTAGAGCTACAGATAGCCTGGAATTCATGTCTGTAATCCTTTGTGTATGTAAGAGAGCTTGAATTCAGAATTCCCTTACCTTACCTCTTGGTCAGAAGCCTCTGTAGGAAATAGAATGAGTGGAGTTGCTTTCTCCAGCTAGATCAGGGGTCTCCAACCTTGGCAACTTTAAGACCTGTGGACTTCAACTCCCAGAATTCCTCATCCAGCTTTGCTTGGCAATTTTGCTTGGCAACTTCGCCAGCTTTGCTTGGCAACTTTAAGACCTTTGGACTTCAACTCCCAAAATTCCTCAATCAGCTTTGCTTGGCAACTTTAAGACCTGTGGACTTCAATTCCCAAAATTCCTCAATCAGCTTTGCTTGGCAACTTTAAGACCTGTGGACAAGTCTTAAAGTTGCCAAGCAAAGCTGGCCAAGTTGCCAAGCAAAGTTGCTAAGAAAAACTGGATGAGGAATTCTGGGAGTTGAAGTCCACAGGTCTTAAAAGTTGCCAAGGTTGGAGACCCCTGAGCTAGATGGTCTCCTGATCTTTTCGGTTAATGTTCCCTCCACACCCAACCATCATGATCACTAATGGCTGAAAGTAACAGGGATTGTTGTCCAACACATTTAGAGAGCATCAAATAAGGGATGATTGTCATCATGAAAAAAAGAACAATCCTTTATATAATGTAATATGCATGTGACTTGCTGTTTTGTAATCCAGTTGTCACTTTACTCCCGCTGGTGTAAAGGCTTTAAATGACCATGTTACCTTTGTCTTAAATGCAGAGCTGAGTGGCCCAAAGAGCACTTCATCCCACCCTACGTGCCACGATTCAGGAACGGCTGGGAGCCTCCTTTGCTGAGCTTCATGGGGGCCCCAAATGAGCAAGAACTCAACCAGTTGGCTGAGTCTGTGGCCAACGTGGCGGAACAGCAGAGGAAGCAAGAGATGAAAAGATTGTCAAGCGAGGTACGGAAAGCAATATATTTTGTTCTCAACAATCCAACTGCAGGATGGGTTTATGTCAAGGACTGGGCAACTTAGCAACAGTGTGGCACTTACTGTATTTTTCGGATTATAAAACACACCGGAGTATAAGACACACCAAGATTTCGAAGCGGTAAACAAGAAAAAAAACCGTTTTTGCCTTCCCCGGCCCCCAGGAGCACTCTGCAAGCCTCCCAAACCCTCTATGCGTCCCTTTTTTGCAAAAAACGGGCCTGCAGAGTGCTCCTGGGGGCTGAGGAGGGCAAAAACGTGACACATGGGGGGTTTGGGAGGCAAAAACGGGCCTGTTTTTCGTGAAAATGGGGTGCGCAGAGCGTTTAGGAGGCCTGCAGAGTGCTCCTAGGGGCTGGGGAGGGCAAAAACGCTCCCTTTTTCACAAAAAACAGGCCCATTTTTGGCCTCCCAAACCCCCCATGCATCGCGTTTTTGCCCTCCCCAGCCCCTAGAAACACTCTGGAGGCTTCCCAAACCTTCTGCGCATCCTGTTTTTGCGAAAAACAGGCCTGTTTTTGGTGAAAACAGGATGCACAGGGCAGGGTTTCGGGAGGCCAAAAATGGCTGTATTCGGTGTATAAGATGCACCAACATTTCCACTCTCTTTTGGGGGGTGGGGGGTGAAAGTGCATCTTATACTCCCAAAACTACGGTACATAACCCTTGGATGGCATTTATGGAATCCCAAAATTATATAAAGTCTCAAAAGGCCACCAAACCTTTGCAAGTCTTCATAGGATTTCTGGCAAGAATGCTCAACTGTCATGAGGTTTGGGTCATTAAAAAACAAACAAGCTACTTTTCGGAGTTCAGAATCTCACCCCAGCACATGATATTGTGCCATAGCACCTGCCACCTGAAAAGTGACTATCTGCCAATATGTGGCTTTTGTCTTGTGAATCCCTTGAAACCGTTGTGTGATGTTTTATGGGGGCCTTCTGCAGCCTGACACCTTTTAGATGGACTACAGTTCTCAGAACACTGAGAATTTGAGACTTGACAAGCGTGGTGTGTCTGGAGGCACTCAGCGGAGAAGCCCAGTTTCTGATTAAAATCAAAAAATAAGTATGTTTACCTCCTTCAGAGTGAATAGGGCAGTTATTTTTGACAGGGTTGGAAAAGGAAATTAAATTCAACTTGACAAGGAAGAGCAGTCTGTTATCATCTCCCTGCCTGCCTTATTTCTTCTCCCTTTGTCTGTTTATTTATTTATTTGTGCATTAAGGTCAGTTAAGTGACCTTGGTTGATCTGAAAAGCCATGCAGCTTGCTTGATTGGCACTTGGATGGAATGAGTGGGATGGAGGCGATCTGAAATGCAGGACTGTAAACTAGATTGGGTAGTTGAAAAAAAATATTCCCAATAAGGCAAACATAGACTAAGAAAATTTCATGGATGTATCCAAGGGTGCTATTCAGCAGGTTCTGACAGGTTCTGGAGAACCAGTAGCGGAAATTTTGAGTAATTTGGAGAACCGGCAAATGCCACCTCTGGCTGGCCCCCGAGTGGGGTGGGAATGGAGATTTTGCAATATCCTTCCCCTGCCATGCCCACCAAGCCAGACCATGCCTATCAAGCCACACTCACAGAACCAGTAGTAAAAAAAATTGAATTCCACCACATATGGGTTGTCAGGGTTTGAATTGGACTTGAAGGCAATTTTGCTTTTTTATGTGTTTTTTAAAAAAAGCATTTTTATTCCAATCTATAATCAGAACGGGGCTGATGGGCTCCATATTCTGCTTACCTAAACCATTTGGTTATGCTCAGATTCTTGCTGATGATGTTGATCAAGTCTTCCTGAGGATGAGAAGGACTAGGGGTGACAGGATAGCAGTCTTCCGATATTTGAGAGAAGAGGTGGACAACCTATTCTCCAAAGCTGCTGAAGGCAAGACCAGAAGTAATGGATGAAAACCTATCAAAGAGAGATCCAATCTAGAACTAAGGAGAAATTTCCTAATAGAACAATTAATCAGTGGAACAGCTTGCTTTCAGAAATTGTAGATGCTCCAACACTGGAGGTTTTTAGGAAGAAGATGGACAGCCATTTGTCTGGAATGGTATAGGGTCTCCTGCATTGAGGACCCAGTTTGTGGGGGCAATAAGCTGACTTTGTATAAAATATACAAAAGTATGAAGGCTATTGCTTAACGCATTGTAAGCCGCCCTGAGTCTCTGGAGAAGGGCGGCATATAAATCTAATTTAAAAAAAAAAAATGGGTGAGTTGTACTAGAACAGCGGTGTCAAACTCAAGGCCCAGGGGCCAGATGCAGCCCATGGGGTGCTTAGATCTGGCCCGCGGGGCCACCCAGGAAACAGAAAAGGACCAGCCTATGATGCCTCTGTCAGTGAAAACGGAGCCCTCCCGAGCTCCGTTTTCGCTGGCAGAGGATTGCAGGAGGCCATCCCAGCCAAAAACGGAGCTCGGGCGCCTGTTTTCGCTGGCAGAGTGCTCGAGCCACCAACAGGTGCCCCCGACACAAGTGACGTCGAGCTAGTCATGCCCATCCTAGCCATCCCCACCCTCGCCCCCCAAAGTCAAACACAACCCTGATGTGGCCCTCAATGAAATAGAGTTTGACACCCATGTACTAGAAGACCTTCCAATTCTGTTATTCTGCATTCTGTAAATTTTTAAGACCTCTTTCCCCCATAAGTTTGATCTAGTGGTTAAGGCACAAGGATAGAAAGTAGAAGATTATGAATTCAGGTTCTGCCTTAGCCAGGAAAGCCAGCTGCATGACCTTGTGCCAGTCACACACTCTCAGCCCAACTTCTCTCACCAGGTTGTTGTTGTGGGGAAAATACAAGGGGGAAACAGGAGGAAGAAGGCGTACTCTGTATGTTCTGCACCTTGAATTGTTTATTAAATGAATAAAGGCAGGATACAAATAAATTAGTAAATAAAAAATAAACATGGCAAGGTTTGAATTGAGAGACAGGAATAATGCAAGCACATTATTATTTATTTAAGAACACCTGCTATATAAATAGGTAAATCATTCTGAACTTTAAAAGAGCCATGTTTGTCCAAGCTGCCTCATTGTGACACTAACGATTCAAAGGCAATTATGTTTAGATAGATAATGGTTTTAGGGAGAAGGTTACCGAAGTTTCTATTGGCGAGGAAGAAATCATTAGCATTCCATTCATTTCTAAGTACAGTTGCATCAAGCAAGGGAGATGACCTGTAGTTAGTTATTTGCTCATTCATTTTAATGGGCAGGAAGAATGTTATTCTGGATTTCCATCACGGTGGGTAGGTGCTACCAAATTGCTTTGCATTATAGTTTTTCTACCACAGATGATGAGTAATAATACTGCTTAGAACGTTCCTTTAAAAGTTCCAGGAATTTCTAGGTTTCACATTATTTTTATTAGAAACTTTTTTTAATTATACCAAGATGATGAGCCTCTGCTGGTGGTTTTGCTAGGAAAGAGACCTAGACAGTTACAGTTACAGATCTCCTAATTCAAATGTGCACAGATTTTCCAACATTTGAATGAGCTGTCTTCCACGTGCTCCTCTAAGATGTGGTTGTCTCTTCTATTGAAACAACCATACTTCCCATCCAGAGTCTATAATATTTGTGAATTGGAGAAGTATGTTCCACATATACAATGAGAGCTTCTGCACCAGAGACAAATTCCTTGTGTGTCCAATCACACTTGGCCAAATAATTCTATTCTATTCTATTCTATTCTATTCTATTCTATTCTATTCTATTCTATTCCATTCCATTCCATTCCATTCCATTCCATTCCATGAGAATCTTGGATGGGAGAAACAAATAAGCATAAATTTTCTTAATCATACCACTCTAATAGTCTATGATAACTTATTGTAACCTGTCTTTGTGATCAATGATAGCAGAAAAATGCCAACACAAAAGCTTTCTAGCCTTCCTTTTGTATTCTTTGACTGAAGTCTCATGTGTATTGTGATTGAATGGTAGAAAAATATCAATGTATTCTAACTCGGAGTATTTCCTAAAAATGCTTTGTTCTTACTAAGGAAACAGATTCCTTTCCCTTTTTATTTCGGAAGAAAAAGCATCTTTGAATGAATTAGCAGCATGCATACTGCTGCCATAGTTACACTGCTTAATTCACAGAGCTAAGCGTTGACTTCAAATCTAGGAAATTCTGTTCTTGAATTTCTCTAATCTTGAAAATTAGTCCTAGCTTAATCTCTGCTGAGCTCCATTGTGTGCCTTTTCCCTGTCTTACGAGCCGATCTTATTTGAGTCTTGCCATATCGAAATATAAACTGGGCTTGAGAAGTCCTATTGCAATGATTTAAGGTCATTTTGTGGTTTGGGGTCTTTGGAGTGGTGTCCATTCCTCCATTTACAAGGCTGGCTAATTAGTTTATGTAACTATAGCAACCTGTGTGACATTTGATCCAATGGGACCAAATAATTTGACAACTGAGTTCTGAATTCCCCTTCTAAATGAAATCATAGCTCAGTGCTAAAACATTCAAAAGACTCCAGGTTCAAAACTATACTGCTGGGGTAAAGAATATGGACAAGATGTCCTTAAGTGAGGGGGGAGAATGCATTACCATCCCCACCAAGTTCTTCTTCTTCTTCTTCTTCTTCTTCTTCTTCTTCTTCTTCTTCTTCGTCTTCGTCTTCGTCTTCGTCTTCGTCTTCGTCTTCGTCTTCGTCTTCAACTTCTTTGTCTCCTTTTCTTCTCCTTCTCCTTCCTCTTCCTCTTTCTCTTCTTCCTGTTCTTCCTTCCTTCCTTTCCTCCTCCTCTTCCTCCCCCCTTCTCCTCCTTCTCCTCCCTTTCTTGCTTACTCTATGTCATTTTGGAAAAGAAAAACAGATTTTTTTTAGTACTATAGTAGATTGCAAACTTTGTTCAGAGCTAAATGGACTGGAGATTCTAGTGTTCTCATATATGAACAGAGGGACTTATTTATTAGTTCCTGTATGAAACTGAATGAAGGACAATTGTTTTTAGGAGTTGCTTGTTCCATTTTTCACACCCCAACCCCCTTTCTAAACCAATTGGCAACCCCTCTTCCCTTTTCAGATCTTCCCCTGCTTCACTTCTGGAAGATCTGAGTCCATATGAAACTACTAAGGGTAGCCTTCAAAAACTCAAGATTTACAGACTTATAGATGATGTATGTCAAGATTATTTTGATCTGTAGGACACATTTCCTTCTTTAAGGAACGATGATTTAATGTGGTATTGCCTGGTTGTTTGTAAGCTTTTATGAATTTATAATTCATCCATTTCTAGCTCAGATTTCATAGGATGCAAGGAGCTGGGAATATCATTCCATGTCTCAGTCAGAGCATCTGCCTGATAACTTTTCCTTGTTAAAATTATCCAGGCCATTCCATGTTGGAAAATGGTATGGACTCAGCTTTTCAGGTTGCAACGATGTCATGGCAGTTCTGTTGAAGATGTGTAGAGAATGGCCGCTCATAATTTGCGATGAAAGATCTCTGGCAGACTTTATGTAATCAGCAACTAATCTCGTTTGTTTTTTCTTTCTTCCAGCATCCCAGCATCTCAGATTATCCTCCATCTGAAGGGTATGCATTCAGTAACACAGCTTACAAAAGAGGGCCTCTGCCGGACCAGGGGGCAGCTGTGGCTGCTTTTAAGCAAAGTGTTAGCCGACATGTAGATAGGTAACTTTACGTGGATGTCATGTGTACAGTTGTGGAGAACTGTCCCAGCTGGTGGCTTCTAGGATGGAGGTGGCATTCTCTTTATACATCTGCTACTCTTCACTGGCCATAGAAGTAGAGATCCTTCTCTGTGCTGAAACTAAAACTTCTTTTTTTCCCCCCTTCTTTTTTTTTACTCTGCTTTCTCTAAGTGCTGCTGACACGTTCTGTTTAAACATGCTGTTATAAATAAAGAGAGATAACAGAAATGGATTGTATAGTCTGAATTTGGAGCTTGGAATCTTTTCCTACTTATAAACAAGCCGTTCCCTTGTTCTTGGCCAAGGTCAACACGAGGTGGTCATTTTCTCTGTGGGTTTACTGTTCACTTTTGCCAAAGGAGACACAGGAGATGCTCCCTGTAGCTTCCCATACAAAATCAACTTCCATGCTGTTGAACCAAATGGAGATAGGATTAAGGTCCATAGATTTTTTTTTTTTTGAGGTCTTATAACCCCCAACAAGAAGATTCTTCTGTGCCTTATTAATAGACAAGTACGTTTCTGAGTCCAATAGTAAGAATTTATGTAGCTCAGGGTTGAATTGTTGGGTTCCTTGTATTCTTAAGATTGACTGTTTTCCTGCAGACATATCAACCCATCAACATACTGTTTACAAGAAACAACAATAAACAGGAAACAGTATCAGACAAACAATCAAAGAAGAAATAGCCTAATCAAGGAACCATCAAGATTGGCAAAATAAATTACTATATATAAGCAACCAGCAATCTCCATCCTCCCTCACCAATGATGTCACCTAGTTTGATAATGAAACATCTTTAGAAAAATTAATGAGCTCAGATATCATCTAGAACCAACAAATTTCTGGTTTCCTGATGGTGCATGAATAAATTACATGGTTTTGTTGTGCTCTATCATATCTCCCATCTTCAGCATCTGTGCCCCACTGCTTAAAAAGCCTAGAAAATACAGGACTGTATTTTCCTAATTCTAGACCAGTAAAGCAATTTGTTGGGGAATTGGAAGCAGGGAGATATTACACTTTTAAAAAATGAAATGTCGCAATGCCCAATTAGGGAACAACGTCAAATAAACTGCAGACAACTGTCTTAGATTTAACTGTCCATTTTAACAACATTAGTTTTTTAATGTTTTGTTTGGCTGGTTGGTTGGCTGGTTGGTTTGTTGCTTAGAGATTTCATATGTAATGCAGTGCCTTAACAGTTCTGGGAAACTTAGAAAGATAAATACCATAATAAACACTGCTTCGATTATGCAATGCTATCCATTGAGATCACAGAAGCTTGCCTTCTCTGTAGCATGTTCATCTTGAGTTCTAGGTAACTCCCACCCTGAAGGTATTCCAGAAGGTCTTAATCACCTGTCTCTTCCCCCAGATGTTGGCCTAGGATGATAGGACCTCCTTTTGTGTGTGTGACATGTTTGAATGGTTGACTGGTTTTACCATCTAGTTATTTTCATATGCCCTTTTATATTGTTATTGTTTACGCTCTGAGCCACCCAGAGTCCATTGGAGTTAGGCGCTGCCCAAGTGAAGGCAAAAAGCAAACTACAAAAATACTTTTCCGCAAATGACAAATAGAAAATCTTAAAAATGAAAGCAATAAACTTTAACTATAAAACGCCTTTCCTAATAATTACAAAGGCAGCTTGTTTCATAATATCATAATAAAAAAAAGTTGATTACAGATGTCGAATACTTCTAAGACAAAGCCAGTAAGAAGGGATGTGTGAATCTGGGACAGATTACATGAAAATAGACATTTCCGTAATCGGGTATTATAATTCATTGAAAGACAGTTTCTTGTAGTGTAGGGATGTCAAACTCACAGCGTCACGGCGGCATCACATGATGTATCGGGACTTTTCCCCCACTTCACTAAACCGGGCATGGGCATGGCCAGCGCGTGACGCATCCGGCCCATCGGCCGGGAGTTTGACAGCCCTGGTGTAGTGGTTAAGGTATCAGGCTAGAAACCCAGAGGCTGTGAGTTCTAATCTTGCCTTATGCACAAAGCCAGCTGGGGAAACTTTAGTCAGTCAGTCACTGTCATCACTAGGAAGAAGACATCTTTGAAATCTTGTCAAGAAAACTGCAGGGACATGCTGAGGCAGTTACCAGGAGTTAAGACTGATTCAAAGGCACAGAAACAATTAGAATTCATGATTATCCATTTTCCTTCTTTATAAGTTTTGTTTAATAAGGCACCTCCTTGGATAAATTTCATTTCTTGAATCCCTGGGAGTTTGCAAACTAGACCATAGGTTAAATTACATTCTGTGGTATAATGTAATGTTACACATGTATACATCACAGCAACCATGTGAGAACTACATTGGATTTTTATTTTATTTTATGCGACCATCTTTTTCCACTGAGTTCTCTCCAGATAATCAAGTAGCTTTCTCCAATTTTATATGCTTTCAATATATGAGATTATCCCGCCACCTGGAAATTTTGGAAATTGTAGTCCCAACATAACCAGAAGACATGATGTATCTTGGGCTTTGATGGCCTCTAAATTGACGTGGCCAATCTCTCCTTTGGCAAAAGCAAATACTCATGAGTTGTGAGTAATGCAAAGTTGTCCAGGGATCCCATCACATGAGTTCCAAAAGCAATATGTAAAATCACGACTTTTATTAGAGCACAACAGTGAACATGTAAAATGTTCCAGGATTTCTGATCGGTTGGGCACATAGTGCTTGTCCTTCTTGTCTCGTCAAAATGTACTCTTTGCTTTCAGCATCTGTGTATCCTCAACCACGTCTTTTTAAATCTCAGTGATTTCAACCTCATTTATATAAATGGCTTAAGATCAAGAACGCAGAGTATATAAATAGCCAAAAAGGTTGGGGAAACAGTAATGGAGCTGTATAGATTATACGAGCCATTGCTTCGAAGCTGAATCCTGCATTTTGGATAATCAAGGGTTGGTCAGTGGTAATTCTGTGGTGTCCTTTTTCTCTTCCCTTTAAGTTGTGACAGTTCTCCACAGCTAATCAACTAGCTAGTTATTCAAGCACCTAAAACGGGGATGTAATTGGTTTAAAATATTTAAATGTAAAACAGAAAACAAGAGTCTACAAGTGTCTTTGTAATGTGATTACTTATATTGTTGTATTCTGCTTCTAATCATGTAGCAGCTTTCCTTCATGGTGATTTTGTAATCTAGTTGCAAGGGCATAGCTTATCATTTTTCAGCCCCAGTCAATAAAATTTCAAATCTAAAGTCATTTATAGCTAAGACTATGAATCAAAATGGAGTGTGCTAAATTTGGAAAAGAAAAAGTAGATAGATTTTTTTAAAAAATTTCCCGAGCCAAGGTTCTACTAAAAGTGGAACTAATTGCAGTTAATGGATTGCTTCCCAAGCATTTATCATCTTTTTCTCTCTATCATATTACAAAATATAAATTGGCGACAACTCTTTAAAGGGCCTTTCTGGGCCACATCCAAAGCTTTATGAGGCCACGTGTATCTAAGATGCCCCAGGCTATTTTTTAATTTCTAACTAATCTCCTTCCCTGACGTCAAAAATCTGTTGTGGTAAAAGAATCCTCTGTGCATTGGCCTCAGCTTACTTCTGTGATCTGGATCAAAGGATGGAACTCTTGGTAGAACATGTGCTTTGCAGGCGGGAGATCTTGGGTTCAATCCTTGGCTGAGAAAAGCTTATCTCGGGCTGGAAAGAGATAGGACAACAATGAGCTAATGGGTCATTGGCCTGATTTCAGAATGTATTTGTTTTCTCCTTGGTGAAAATCTGTCCTTTGTTAGTATATAATATACATCTCATCATGTGTGCGCAGGTATTGACTGAATCTGTGGGAAGTTATATTGCAAAAAAGTATAATTTACAAGTTATCTAGGTACCATGTGATCTAGATATTAAGAGTTGTATTTGATAGAGTGTTGTGATAGTATTGCCAGGTTGTCCAGCCTCAAGGTTTGGAGAAGGAGGAGCTGTCACTATATCACACACACACACACACACACACACACACACACACACACACACACAGAGAGAGAGAGAAATGCACATAAAGGAAGACAATTGTGGATAAAGTCACAATTTTATCTCCTGTGGGTATACAGATGGAATTACCCAAAAGGCCGGTGATGTCATTGAGAGGGGTCATTTCTAGGATATTTGAGGACCAAGAAAAGATTTTAGAATGGAAATGAAAAAAGGAAAGGATTGGAAAGCAAGCTGTCCCCATTTTCACCTTTAGAAGTTGACTGAATTTCAGTGGCAGGATTTGAGTCACTTTTTGTGGGGTTGAGTGAGGTAAATTCAGGTTGGAAATGGATGCAATTTCCTTCTCAGATGCCTTCCATTTCCACTCTTCTTTTTATTGTGTGATAAAAGAAGAACTGGGCTGCTAAAAATCAGAAATTGTGCTAGCCTATTTGGACAGGAACATCTATTGATGTTGAGGTTCGACTTTGGCTTGTGGGCTACAGATTACTCACCCCTAAATTGAGTAAGGATCAAAACTCTATGAAACCAAACCATCCTTTCTGGCTATTTCGGTTTTATAGAATATCTGGATATATTTAACATGTATGGCCTTGAAAGGAACCATATTTGGGAAGATACACTTAATCTGGATTCTTCCATTAATTATAAACTCACAGAGCAGGCATGGTTTACGCTGCCTTAAAAAATCCTACACACGATTAAATCCAAACATATTACTATGGAGGAATCGAACTGCTAAGTCTTTAATGGCCTGATTATGTTGAGTAAACACAGCTACTAATAGCTAAAGATGTTGTCAATGATGAAGATGGTTTCATAGTTAAAGCTTTACCACCAGCACTGACAGGGCAAGCCACTTGTATATAAGCAGACAGCAAACCCCATTCCTTTGTAGTACTGATGACGTTACCTAGTTGGGTAATGAAATGTCTGCCAGAAAATCACCAAGCTCAGAGAGCTTTAAAGATTCCTCGGTTTACCACTATTTTATGCATGTGCAACAATACACACACAAAAGAGAAGCATTTCACTCACGACACCACGGCCACCATTTTGCAAATTTTAACATCCTGCTCTCTGCAGAACACATCTCTGCAATAAATGGCAAATTATCACCAAGTAATCACAACCTCCTTTCACCTAAATTTTTAAATTAGAAGATCAGGCTCACCGCTTTCAAAACTGAGAGATCAAAATTGTGGCGAGGGTATGCTTCTCTTCTAGACAATGGGACACATTTGCAAATCCTTTGGAGGTAATGTGCTTCTTTAAATACTTGAATTAGATGCCATAGAGTTTCCCACAGGTTCCGTGATCTAATCAGCCCACACCAAGTTGAGACCTACTCATATTGTGCTCCATGCTGTGCAGAAGCATTTATATATTTATGGTAGTGGCCTAGAGTCATGTACATGAGACGGGCAGCTACAGAAATCGAATAAATAAATCAAGCATGTCATGAAAGATGTGAGCAGGCCAATTGATATTTGGAACTGCCTGGATGGGGAATAGGGCTGCTGGTCGGGGCAGCCGTCTGCTATTGTGATGGATCTCTAATAGTTTTTGCCTGGTAGTAAATCCTGAGCTAATTATAGCCAATGACAGGCAGAGCTGGCTTCTCTTCTCTTTTTGGCTATGCTAATCTCACAGGAGAGCTGGATAACATTTTGGCTTATTTGTTTTTGTAGAAATTATGAAGCGCATAAAACCCCAACCAAGAAATACGCCAAAACCAAGTATGACTTTGTGGGAAGAAACCAGAGCGAGCTTTCTGTTCTGAAGGATGACATTTTAGAGGTAACAATGCTTCTTTAGACCCACACACACACACACAGAGGTAGTCCTCAATTTATGACAATAATTGAACCCAAAATTTCTGATGCTAAGTGTGACGGTTGTTAAGGTTTTAAGGCCTTTCTTGCTATTGTTGTTAAGTGAATCACCGCACTTGTTAAATCAGTAACAAGAGTTGTTGAGCGAATCTGGCTTCCCCATTGACATTGCTTGTCAGGAGGTCGCAAAAGGTAGATCACATGACCCCAGGACGCTGCAACCGTCATAAATATGAATCGGTTGCCAAGCGTTTGAATTTTGATCACATGACCATGGAGATGCTGCAATGGTCATAAGTGTGAAAAATGGTCATAAGTCACTTTTTTCAAGCCGTTGCAATTTTGAACGGTCACTAAATGAATGGGTGTAAGTCAAGGACTATCTGTAGATCTATTTCCTCTGCTGTCATGCTTTGGATGAGATTCTCTAGACTAAGCAATAAATTATGTTGAATAATCATAGTGACTACAGCAGCTGAGCAACCCATGTTATAACTCAGAAAACTGGGTGAATTCAAGCCATGTGTGAAATCTGTAACTTTGATATCAGGAGGGCCATTCATTGAATAGCCTGCAAAATTATCCATCTCTATTTGCTTCTAAATGGGACGTGGTGGCTCAGTGGCTAAGAGGCTGAGCTTGTCGATCGAAAGGTCGGCAGTTCAGCGGTTCAAATCCCTGGTGCCGCGTAACGGGGTGAGCTCCCGTTACTTATCCCAGCTTCTGCCAACCTAGCAGTTCGAAAGCATGTAAAAAATGCAAGTAGAAAAATAGCGACCACCTTTGGTGGGAAGGTAACAGTGCTCCGTGCGCCTTTGGTGTTTAGTCATGCCAACCACATGACCACGGAGACATCTTCAGACAGCTCTAGCTCTTCAGTTTTGAAACAGAAATGAGCACCGCCCCCTAGAGTCAGGAACGACTAGCACATATGTGCGAGGGGAACCTTTACCTTTATTTGCTTCTAACTATTAACGAGAGCTTTCTGTCCCTGAAAGTATATTATTTGTGCAAAAGGAACCCAACATATCCATGAAAGAATGGCTCCTTCGGACAGGATCACTTCCCTTTCCTTTGGAGCTGGATCTTCCTTCCCTGAGACTCTTCTTCTATGCAGATCATAGTCATTTTGGAAGTAAAACATCTATATCAGAATCCCTTTTAGTTTAGCTGACTTTAGTTTAGGTAACCTTTTATTTAAATGGGTCTGTGGAGTCAGACCGGTTCATTGTGACAAGATTTGTTTGTTTTTCCAGATTCTTGATGACAGAAAGCAATGGTGGAAAGTCCAGAATGCAAATGGATTGACTGGATTTGTGCCAAATAACATCTTGGAACCTCTCAGATCTCCGGAAAGTGTCTGTACAGAGCCAGCATATGCGCACACCATACAGGTAACTAGTTCTTTTAAACAAAGAATATCAGGAGCACATTGGCAGGACTTTTTTCCTCAGAGATTGAATAGCCTATGACAGGGATGTCAAAACTCAAAGACCACAGGCCAGATCTGGCCCACTGGGTACTTAGATCTGGCCCGCAGGGCCATCCTGGAAACAGCAAAGACCGGCTCCCAGTGCCTCTGCCAGCGAAAATGGAACTCGGGAGGGCTTCGCGGGGACCCCGAGCTCCGTTTTTTCCTGGCAAAGGGCTAGCAAAACAAACTAAAAACAAAACAAAAGGAGAAATGTTTGCCCTTCTGCATTTGAGCATTCAAGAAAAGACAAGAAAGGAGAAGGGGAAAGAGGAAAGACAAAGAAAAAGATGGGAAGAGAGCAAGGAAGGAAAAATAAAGAGTGGAAGGAAAAAGAAAGGAGAAGGAAGAGGGAAGGAAAAAAGAAAAGGAAGGAAGGAAGGAAGGAAGGAAGGAAGGAAGGAAGGAAGGAAGGAAGGAAGGAGATTATAATGAGAGTGAAGGAAGTCCTGTTTTAGCACTTGGCCACCACAGGGGCCTGTAACACGAGTGACATTGAGCTGGCCACACCCACCCTGGCCACACCTATCCCATCCATGCCACGCCCATTCCCCCCCCCCCCAAGGTCAAACACAACCCTGATGCGGCCCTCAATGAAATCAGGTTTGATATCCCTGGCCTATGAGATACCTAAGAGAATCTAGATATGAAGCTCTGCAGAAGGATAGCCTAAGAAATGCAGGCAAAGACGACAAATTGTGATTCCAGATAGCCTGGTGGTCTTGAGTTTGAGTTCTGTATGACAAGGACACAAGTGAGGTCAAAGTGTCAGATGGACACTTTGGCGGAAGTGAGAAGCAGGTAGAGCCCTAACATGGAAGCTCTAAAAGAGGGTTGTGGAATCTCTTAGTTTTGCACAAGTTGGACCACAACTACTGCTATTACCACTAGCTAGGCTGATTTTTAGCTGATGGGAACCTCTCCTAACACAAGAACCACATGTTCACCGTGCCTGCATTAAGCTCTTGCCCATTTTTCAGAAGCACCTTTTTTTTATTAATTTAACTTGTTTATTTATTGATGAAACTGATGCATTGCCTTAATCCAGTCTGAGCTTCAGCTCTCCGTGCAAAGTGTTTGTAGGATTCCTGAGAAGCTTGTTAAAGAGCCTTTCTGTTCAATCAGGTAACAGCAGAATGACGAGCGAGAGGAACATCAGAAAAGTCAAGGGTTCTGAGCCCCTAAGGGCACGAGTAGCTCTTCTATTAAGAGACATCTTACAGCATACAAAATAAATTCATTTGATTATTAATAATTCCAGCATTGTTTCTCTTGGCAACGCGAAGCAGAATCTCTGCTCTTTTGATGTCTCCTTTTCATTGCTGACATTTGTAAGTTTCGTCACCACGCTTTGGGTTCTAATTCAGCTTATGCCTTTTTTTATTTAAATGCTTGTCATGTCTTGATAGTTATTGATGTCAAAGAAGGAATTTGAATTATTTAAGGTAGGGTTTTTTTTTTTTCTTTTCATCCAAACTGTCCCTATTCTATTTCTCTTAAATTTCTTTTGGATGTGTCAAGTTATTTCCGCTGCACTTTGCATGGGTGTGAGTTTGCTGGCTTTTCTATTGGTGTGGAATTCTCTATTATTTTATTATTTATTATTAGTTTGATTTATATGCCGCCCTTCTCCGGAGACTCAGGGCAGCTTACAATGCTTTTAAGCAATAGCCTTCATACTTTTGTATATACTTGCTTAGTAGGGCTTTTGCCCCCCTCCCTAAGCGGTGTTCTATTTTATACAAAGTCAGCTTATTGCCCCCACAAACCGGGTCCTCATTTTACCTACCTCGGAAGGATGGAAGGCTGAGTCAACCTTGAGCCTGGTGAGATTTGAACTTGCAGTAATTGCAGGCAGCTGGCAGCTAAATACTACTTTAACAGTAGTTTAGTCCACTGCACCACCAGGCTCCTTCCTCTACAAAGGAATGTAGAATTTTTTGATCTTTTGAATCAAAGGTTCGTAATAATATGCAGCTTTTGAGTAACATCAAAACACGCATATTATGACCAGTTGTTGTTTTTTTAATTGTTTGGTATGTTGAAATGAAGTGGCAGAATATTTGTTAGTCTTCTGAACATAAGTAAGTCATCACTATTAGAATAGAAAGTGGAATTGTACGAATTCAGGTCAGTTCCAACTTTTGAGTCAGTTGAAAGATCAGTCCTTCTTAAATGTTCAGATCGGTGGTGAAATCCAATTTTTTTTTACTACCAGTTCTGTGGGCGTGGCTTGGTGGGCGTAATGTGGCTTGGTGGGCATGGCAGGGGAAGGATACTGCAAAAGCTCCATTCCCACCCCACTTGGGGGTCAGCCAGAGGTGATATTTGCTGGTTCTCCAAACTGCTCAAAATTTCCGCTACTGGTTCTCCAGAACCTGTCAGAACCTGCTGGATTTCACCCCTGGTTCAGATCAATTAGCAAAATCAAACTGGTTTTACTGGCACACCTGAGCTGATTTGGTGAGGCCTTGATTTCACCTTTTAAAATAACATCTGTGCAAAGGAGGAGGACGGCTGAGGCATTGGGCTTTTTTTTTTTTTAAATGGCTTTTATTGCTTTATTGCAGGGGTGTCAAACTCGTGTTGTCATGGTGGCATCACGTGATGTATCGCAACCTTTTTCTTTTTTTCTAAATTGGTTTTTATTGTGAAATATAGAAATACAATTCAACATTTTTCGGTTCCGTGGCGTTAAATATAAATCCGTATTATTTACACATTATTTACATAGTATTGCATCTTTGCTTGTATATGATTTGGATATTATTACAAATAGTAATGCACAGTTCTTTATGATCATATATACATGTTATTATATATATTATACACCCTTAATTCAGTAATGCACATGGCAATAGTTGTATCGCAACTTTTTTCCCCTTTGCTGAACCGCGTGTGGGCGTGGCCAGCGTGTGACGCATCCAGCCCATGGGCCGTGGGTTTGATAGCCCTGCTTTATTGTTTTATTACTGTTGTGAGCCACCCAGAATTGTGGGAGAAGTAGGAGGGGAGGTTGAAGACAGATGACCATGTAAGTCTTTTAAATAAATAAATTGATTGTTTGGAGCTGATTTGCTGCATGGAACATTCATACAGGCAGCAGGCAGGCAGGACATAGAGAGTGAAGGAAGGAAAGAGATACAAAAGGAAGGGGAAGGGGAAGGGGAAGGAAGGAAAGGAAGGAAGGAAAGGAAGGAAAGAAGGAAGGAAGGAAGGAAGGAAGGAAGGAAGGAAGGAAGGAAGGAAGGAAGGAAGGAAGGAAGTCCACCACAAAGTACCAAACTGGAAGCAGGATCTAAATAAAGAGAAGACCCTGTCTGATCTAATGGTTCAAGAATTGCACCATTACCTGAAAGACTTCAGTTCAAGTCCACTATCAGTCATAGAAGCCCATTAAGTGATTTTGGACCTATTGCTCTCCGTTCGTCAGCCTACCCAAGTTTTATTCCAAAGATATTTCTATGGGGTTGGCTTGGCTGACTGGCTCCAGTTTACCCAATAAATTTCCCTTGCTAAAGGTTACTCGAACCAGGTGTCTCTTATTTCACTGCATATGAATATTTTTCTTAATTAGCTATAGCATCCGCCAAGCAGATATTAGGACTGCGGGGAGTTCTTCAGTTGCCAAGTTATGTATTTTCCACAATGTTCAGATCGTACTTAGACGTGACCTTTCTGTTATTCCGGAAAGCAAATTAAATTGCCTTGTTCATAGAGCCCAGGAATTTCCTTTGTCCTGATCAGGGGTGGGTTCTACTTACCTTTACTACCGGTTTGCAGCGGGGCTGTGTGCGCGCTTGTTTCACTCGCATGCTCTCTTCTGCGCATGCGCAGAAGCATTTTGATGACGGGGTCGGTCGGAGGAGCCTCCCACTGGTTTTACTACCAGTTCTATAGAACCGGTGCAAACCGGGGGTAACCCACCACCGGTCCTGATCCTTCTTGACGTGACAGGATTATTTAGGTGTAGTCCTCGCTTAATGACCAGTGACTTAGCGAACGTTCAGAGTTGCAGCAGACCACTCCGGATCCTATTTATGATTTGGTTTCAAAATTCTGACAACTGCACACGACACCCACCCTGCAGTCATGCGATCGCATTGTGGGTGCTTGGCAACCGGCTCACAGCCGTTTGCAGCATCCCGCAGTCACATGACTGCAATTTTCAGTATTCCCCCCTCCCCCCAATTTCTGGCATTTAGTTTCGATTTCTGACAAAAAATGTCCATTGGTGAAAATGGGTTTGCTTAGCGACTGCAGCGATCGCTTAACCACAGCAAAAAACAAAAAAGGTCATAAAGTTGAATGAGGCAACCTGTTTAATGACCACCACAACTTAGGACCATAATTCTGGGCTCGATTACAGTTGTATTTCAAGGATTACCTCTACATAGGGTATAGATCAGTGGTGGGTTTCTACCGGTTCGCCCTGGTTCGGTAGTGGTGGAGGTGGGAGGCTCCGCCCACCTGCCCGGACGTCATTACGGATGCTCTGAGCATAAGCAAAATGTTCTGCACATGCGCAGAAGCAACACGAGCAAAGTGCGTGCGAGCTCACATGCACTCCCACTTCCGAACCCGTAGCAAAGCTACTGGTATAGATGTATCTTTTTTTTTTTCTTTTTTTTAAAAATTTGATTTATATGCTGCCCTTCTCCGGAGACTCAGGGCGCCTTACAATGCGTTAAGCAATAGCCTTCATACTTTTGTATATTTATACAAAGTCAGCTTATTGCCCCCACAAACTGGGTCCTCATTTAACCTACCTTAGAAAGGATGGAAGGCTGAGTCAACCTTGAGCCTGGTAAGATTTGAACCTGCAGAAATTGCAGGCAGCTGTGTTAATAACAGGGTACATTAAACCACTGTACTACCAAGGTTCTTTGGTACATCTTAAGTACATTGTTCTTGTGTGGATGG